ACCTATTGAATACTTAACTGTAGGCTTTGTTTGAAAGTATAAAAAACGATAACTTTATTATACCATACTTCTATTCAACTATGAGGACATACTGATCATAGCATCAGGTTAAATTATAAACACTTTTAAAATTTTGGATCCCCTAAATAGAGGGACGTCTTTCAAAAGATCAAACACAGGCAACAGTTAAAGCCAGGGGCCGGCAACCTGCGGCTCGTGAGCCGCATCGGTTCCTTTGATGCAAAAGTGCGGCTCTCGAGTTCCATGCACATATATTAATAACAAGCCGACCCGCAGCGTATCATACGCCGCTATTTAGTTGTTTTATTTTCTACATTTCAGTAATTCATAATTTGTGAATTCGACAGTACCAATGCTGCCACTGAAAATATTTGCTTTAAAACACTAACCCCCCCCCCCCCCTACCTTTCCCCCCCCCCCCCCCCCCCCCCCGTGAAAGCAGCCTCCTCTTAGTTATTTCTTAGTTACCTCCTGTAAGTTTAAAATCGAACTAAATTATCTGCCCCTAATAGAAACCCGGCTCTACGATTTGTAAACATTAGAGTGAACACAGCTCACCAGACAATGTGGGGGTGGGGTGGGGTGGTAATGATAGTGATAGAGAGAAAGAGAGAGGACTGCAAGGAGGCGCTTGCAGCTTGTTTTCTAACGGCTCCCAGAAGAGAATTATATATATAGATTATTTGTGTCCGTATGCATTAATTTAACCTGAGTGATGCATTATCTTAGTTGTTAGTCTCCTACGGTCGAACCAGGTACTGGACTATGGGTTCGTGTAGGGTGGAAGACCGATACGGTAATCAACAAATACCCAAGCCGGTGGTGTCCGGAAAGAAAGAAAAAAAAGTTATTGGCTTGTAAAGTGGATTGGGATAGTCCCATAGTTATATTATTTGATTTCTAATTTTATCATAGCAGAGCTAGCTAAAACACTTTTTGTGCTAAACATTTGAATGTTTTTTATATGAATCAATATAATTTTATATTTAATGCTATTTATTTCAAATCATAAATCAAATTTATTTACCTAATCCTTTTCAAATATCAAAATAGTGAAAAAATGATGTTAGTGGCTCTTTAAAAACAGGGTAATTTTGTAAATTGTAACTTTTGGCTCTTCAGTCTCAAAAAGGTTACCGACCCCTTGTTTTAGCCATTGTTATAAAAAATTATAATTTGAAAAAAACAAAGTATACAGTAAATTATAAATTCTATCCCATTTAATATTATATACGAGCCGACCCGCGGCGTATCATACCCCGCTATTTAGCTGTTTTATTTTCTACTTTTCAGTCATTCATAATTTGTGAATTCGACAGTACCAACGCCGCCACTGAAAATATTTGCTTTAAAACACTATCAGTAGCTCGTTAAGGACGAAAATGTTTCCATGGATCAATTTAGTAATAATAACAATTGAATATTTTATGGTCATCGGAAATAAAGCTTCCCTGAAAATTTCAGCGCGCTAGCTAACTGGGAAGTGCCCGAAATATCGATCGCAAGATTTGATTGGAGAACCAAACAGACGCGAAAGCAAGTTAAAGAAAACGTGGGAAAAATATACATTTTTCAACTAGAACACCTACCTTTCTTTGTAGTGTGTTCCGTACTAAATTGAAATCATCTAACGACTACTCGATATACTCTACTACATTCACAACTCATATCAAACATCGACTAGACTCGATACTCCAGAACTACGACACCAACTCGTTTAACTTCACCAAGCTCTACAAACGGTACTCCCAATCAACAACGATTTCACTGGACCTACTACTACACTTTAACAGTCAACATAATTCGATATCTTAATTCCACAAGAATCAATACTCCCGAACTCTAGAACTACGATATTTCATCGCCTGCATTCGAATTTCTCTATTACCAATCAGATTCCACCAGATCTTAAACTACAAAACAGCCGAATAAAAATTATGACACTTTAATACTTCGATACTTTATATCTACGGAACCTTAACAGCCTTCCGCCGTTACTCCCAAATCTAAATGACTCATCAAAATTTACCGAACAAGTACAATACTTTGAACACCCCGTCAATACAAAACTTTATACACCAGGCCTATATAGACCTAATTTTGGGGTGGGGGTACAAAATTGATAGTTCGTCGTGGGTGCCGAAATAGATAGCTACTCCTTTATAAAAGTTATTAATTATCAGGTACTTTTTGATAATAGCGATTAAACCTTTTGCGCCCCCCCCCCTAGAGATGGCGCCCTAGGCGACCGCCTAGTTAGCCTTATAGGTAGCGCCGGCCCTGGGTAAAATGCAGGTCAAAATTTAAAATGTTGTAATGTTGGTAAGAGAATTGTTGATAAAGCGTTAAAATGTTGTAATGTTGGTAAGAGAATTGTTGATAAAGCGTTAAAATGTTGTAATGTTGGTAAGAGAATTGTTGATAAAGCGTTAAAATGTTGTAATATTGGTAAGAGAATTGTTGATAAAACGTTACAATGTTGTAATGTTGGTAAGAGAATTGTTGATAAAACGTTAAAATGTTGTAATGTTGGTAAGAGAATTGTTGATAAAGCGTTAAAATGTTGTAATGTTGGTAAGAGAATAGTTGATAAAACGTTAAAATGTTGTAATGTTGGTAAGAGAATTGTTGATAAAGCGTTAAAATGTTGTAATGTTGTTAAAAGAATTGTTGATAAAACGTTAAAATGTTAAAATTTTGTAATGTTTCTGAAATATTTACAAATTGTAGGAATGTTAATAAAAAATTCTTAAAATGTTCAAAAATTATTTTTTAAAGTTTCTTTATTAACCTAGATTATCTTCTGCTTCAATGAAAGAGATAAGGAAAGAGATAATGAAAGAGATAGGAATTCGTCCAAACGGAAATTGGGATATGTAACCTGGAAATTCAGGCATAGCACAACAACAATTACTTGCACACCAACGAAGCGCAATACGATCACTTAATTACGTAATTATTTCCGTCATTTAATTAGCACGGAGAGTCTGGAATATTTTACCACTCCTCCGTCACGCCTCAATCTTTCACATCACGCAATTTCTTGATAATTTTACCACTCCTCCGTCACGCCTCAATCTTTCACATCACGCAATTTCTTGATAATTTTACCACTCCTCCGTCACGCCTCAATCTTTCACATCACGCAATTTCTTGATAATTTTACCACTCCTCCGTCACGCCTCAATCTTTCACATCACGCAATTTCTTGATAATTTTACCACTCCTCCGTCACGCCTCAATCTTTCACATCACGCAATTTCTTGATAATTTTACCACTCCTCCGTCACGCCTCAATCTTTCACATCACGCAATTTCTTGATAATTTTACCACTCCTCCGTCACGCCTCCATCTTTCACATCACGCAATTTCTTGATAATTTTACCACTCCTCCGTCACGCCTCAATCTTTCACATCACGCAATTTCTTGATAATTTTACCACTCCTCCGTCACGCCTCCATCTTTCACATCACGCAATTTCTTGATAAACATATATCAATAGTGACAGTACAGTGACAGTATACTGACAGTACAGTAACAGTATACTGACAGTACAGTGACAGCATAATGATAGAACAGTGAAAGTAAGGTGATAGTACAGTAACAGTATACTGACAGTACAGTGACAGTATACTGACAGTACAGTGACAGTACACTGACAGTACAGTGACAGTATACTGACAGTACAGTGACAGTATACTGATAGAACAGTGACAGATATGTGACAGATATGTGACAGATATGTGACAGTATTGTGACAGTGCTGTGACAATATTGTGACGGTACAGTGACAGATGTGTGACAGTAGACAGTATTGTGACAGTATTGTGATAGAACAGTGGCAATACAGAGAAACAAGAGTGACAGAGCAGTGACAGTACAATGACAGATATGTGACAATATAGTGACAGAACAGTGACAGTGTTGTGACAGTACAGTCACAGTATTGTGACACTATTGTGACAGAGCAGTGGCAATACAGAGACACAAGACTTACTTCCTTTTATAAATCGTGTTGATTGTGAAGATGGCATAACAAATTATGTATGTTATTAATAAATTAGTTAGTGAATAATTTACAGCTAGTTCCTTATTAGTATTGATGAATTTGTGGGAACAAGCTTAATTCCTATCAATATTTTAGAACAACAGAACTGTTGTTAGAAATTAAATAATTAACAATTAATAGAAGACGCCTCTTCGCTCTAAATGAGCATTCTTACACACACACACACACACGCACATCTGGAAACAGAGCCACGCACAAACCTGCACACACTCACGCACAAACGCAATTACCTACTTAAATAACACATTTTGGAAGAACGACTGGGGACAGAAAGTTAAAGGAAAAAAAATGTAGGCCTACCTCAACACACACCGCCTGATAACAGTCGTTGTTTACTATTTTAAGACGTAGTTGCCATTTGTTATGATTTTACTAAATCGAAAATTAAACGAAAAACGAAATTTAAAAAGTAAACAGATTAAAAAAGAAGCCTTACAATCTGTTAATCTTCATGAAATTAAATCTCATAATTGATCAAATAATAATATTGATTGGTATTGATTAACAAACAGAATTAAACTTGAGAAACCGTGCATACGTTTAGAAATAGTATAAGAAAAAAATACTATTGAGATATATTATAAAATGTTTCTATATCAATGTAACAACAATACAATCAGGAGTGGATAACACAACATGAAATTAATTTAAACTATATTTAATTATCTTTGACGGGGTACATTGTTCACTAAAGCTACATAATCTGTTTACAAGCTTCTGATTTAGGCTGTCCGTTTCCAATAACATTTTGGCAATCATTAATTTGTGTACCTGGCAACCGGACAGCTGACTGCACGCGCAACATGGCAACTAATCGAATGTTAGCGTCCCGAGTGGCCCAGTCTCCGTGGGCAACGCGCGCCTCACACGACGAGAGAGCCATTGAAATACGAGGAGGGAGGCGAGAGTAGCATACGAGTGTTGCCGTCTGCAGTTTGTTTACCATCTGTTCATCAACTTGATCACAAAGCGTTTTCTCCCTTACTTCGTCTGCTCATTTTTTGGAGGCCGATTTTGATGTAAGTAGAAAATAAATCAAGACAAAAATCTGAATACTATAAATCTATCTATGTATGAATATCAAAAGTAAATTAATATATTAAATTACTCTAAGACGATAATTATTGTTATCTAACATCACAATAATATCACAAACACCAGCATTCTATCAGAGTATCAGTTACCTATTTTGTTAATTAGATCTGATTAATTATTCATGTCCTAAAAATGTATTGATGAAAATCTAGACTTAACACAATATCTATTAGTTCACGTAGTTATATCTTATAACTAATGCCCAATAAAACATAATAATTCCCCTGTAATTATCAAGCAGAAAAACGATGATAGGGTTAGATTGATATGGTGGTTTAACACCTAAAAAGGGATGGGCAAATAGCCGTAGTCTGTTTCTAAAGTACCTAGACAATTATGTAAAACACAATTGTTAATATTTTCCTACGACCGTAAAGTATATATATATATATATATATATATATATATATATATATATATATATATATATATATATATATATATTCTACGTAAAAGGTGGGAAGTACATTTGGCTAACAATATCCCCATACTTGTATGTAGTGCTGAAAAAGCCTTTAGTTTAGCTAAAATCAGGATAGGTCAAAAATTAAAGGTGTTACATTTTTATCAACGATGCTGCAAGATAAGTACGACTAACCAAAAAACACTATTTTCTATAGTGGTGTCATATACCATCACATAGTGATGAAAGACGTGACAGATAATGATGTTAGACGTGACCACAGTGATAATAGATGTGACCACATAGTGATGTTAGACGTGACTATATAGTGATGATGACGTGATAATAGACCTGACCACATAGTGATGCCCTTCGTGATTATACAGGGATGGTTAACTATATCACACAAAAATGTTTTATGTGATCCAGCAGTGATACTAAGCGTGATCATCAAAGGTGATAAATTTAACCAACTTTGATCACATTTTCTTTTAAGCTAATCTGTGAACTCTGTCACACCGTCCTTTCCTGACTTCTGTAACGCCGCCATTTGGTATGGCCCACCTGTGTGGGGTGTATAAAATCTCCCCCACACAACAAACCTAGTCCCACCTGTGTGGAGTGTCTTAAGCCTCCCCCACACAACAAACCTAGTCCCACCTGTGTGGAGTGTCTTAAGCCTCCCCCACACAACAAACCTAGTCCTACATGTGTGTGGGGTGTCTAAAGCCTCCCCCACACAACAAACCTAGTCCTACATGTGTGTGGGGTGTCAAAAGCCTCCCCCACACAACAAACCTAGTCCCACCTGTGTGGGGTGTATAAAGTCTCCCCCACACAACAAACTAGTCCCACCTGTGTGGAGTGTCTTAAGCCTCCCCCACACAACAAACCTAGTCCTACATGTGTGTGGGGTGTCTAAAGCCTCCCCCACACAACAAACCTAGTCCCACCTGTGTGGAGTGTCTTAAGCCTCCCCCACACAACAAACCTAGTCCTACATGTGTGTGGGGTGTCTAAAGCCTCCCCCACACAACAAACCTAGTCCTACATGTGTGTGGGGTGTCTAAAGCCTCCCTCACACAACAAACCTAGTCCCACCTGTGTGGGGTGTATAAAGTCTCCCCCACACAACAAACTAGTCCCACCTGTGTGGAGTGTCTTAAGCCTCCCCCACACAACAAACCTAGTCCTACATGTGTGTGGGGTGTCTAAAGCCTCCCCCACACAACAAACTAGTCCCACCTGTGTGGAGTGTCTTAAGCCTCCCCCACACAACAAACCTAGTCCTACATGTGTGTGGGGTGTCTAAAGCCTCCCCCACACAACAAACCTAGTCCTACATGTGTGTGGGGTGTCTAAAGCCTCCCCCACACAACAAACTAGTCCCACCTGTGTGGAGTGTCTTAAGCCTCCCCCACACAACAAACCTAGTCCTACATGTGTGTGGAGTGTCTTAAGCCGCCCCCACACAACAAACCTAGTCCCACCTGTGTGGGGTGTCTAAAGCCTCCCCCACACAACAAACCTAGTCCTACATGTGTGTGGGGTGTCTAAAACCTACCCCACACAACAAACCTAGTCCTACATGTGTGTGGGGTGTCTAAAGCCTCCCCCACACAACAAACCTAGTCCCACATGTGTGGGGTGTCTAAAGTCTCCCCCACACAACAAACCTAGTCCCATTGTGTGGAGTGTCTTAAGCCTCCCCCACACAACAAACCTAGTCCCACATGTGTGGGGTGTCTAAAGTCTCCCCCACACAACAAACCTAGTCCCATTGTGTGTGGTGTCTAAAATCTCCCCCACACAACAAACCTAGTCCCATTGTGTGTGGTGTCTAAAATCTCCCCCACACAACAAACCTAGTCCCACATGTGTGGGGTGTCTAAAGTCTCCCCCACACAACAAACCTAATCCCACCTGTATGGAGTGTCTAAAGCCTCCCCCACACAACAAACCTAGTCTCATCTGTGTGGGGTGTCTAAAATCTCCCCCACACAACAAACCTAGTCCCGCATGTGTGGGGTGTCTTAAATCTCCCCCACACAACTAGTCCCACCTGTGTGGGGTGTGTAAAGTCTCCCCCACACAACAAACCTAGTCCCATCCAAGCCTCTTGTCCAACCGTTACGCTGACCAGGTCTAGTCTACGGTTGGAACTGAATTCTTGCCGAGAAACAAAAAGGGGCGGAGGGGCTGTGCATTTAGGTCATTAGTTATCAAATCAAGCAACTGTATTTTTATTGAACCTAACGTACGCGGTAACTCAAAATCAATGCACCAGGGGTGTGTTTTTGTAATGTTTAATTTACGACTGCGTTCTATCGAGCAATGCAAGAAATCAATCAATGAAGAAATCAACATGCAATTACCTGCCTACCCAAACATAGAAGACGTCCAATCATTAAGGGACGATAACTACCCACTCCGGTGTTCATTTTTATCTCTGCTAATTGGATACCTGGAGGGAGAGGGACAATTACACAAGGAAGATCCAGAAAACACCAGTAATTTAAAATTTCCTTGTCTTTTTTGGATTACAGTTGGTTTATTTTAGGAAACCGATTATTGCAGCACATGTGCAAAGTATTGACAAAAAAATGCGAAATTCCCGTTGTATTGTTATTGTTCTGTCGGGGAAAAACCACTTGTTTTTTGTGCGTGTCTAACACTTTTACCCACCTCACCATGACGATAGCTAGGACACACACATATACACACACACAAGCACACACATATACACAGAGCCACGCCAAAGCCCCAGTCACAGTTTAACAGAGGCGTAACAACCCATTCCGGAGCCTGGGACTAACTATCAGTTTTGCGCCCTTCCTCCCATATATATATATATATATATATATATATATATATATATATATATATATATATATATATATATATATATATATATATGCGTGTGTGTATGTGTGTGTGTGTGTGTGTGTTTGAAAAAATCGGGGTGCTTTTTACCAGTCACTGTCCCTTAACAGATTTATTTTGGTGTCACACAGTGGATGTAGAAAACAGTCCATAAAGCCGAGTAGCATTCTTTTTTCTTAACTTAGACTTTGTATAATTCATAGTGCTCCCCCCCCCCCCCCATGAGTGGCCCACTCCACCCGCTTTCCCCTAGCTACGCCTCTGCTGAGTTAGCTACTGTTGGTGTATCGTTTATTTGTTAACACTTTAGTGAGTGTGTTTGTGTGCGTGCGTGTGTGTGTGCGTGCGCGCGTGTGTGTGTGTGTGTGTGTGTGTGTGTGTGTGTGTGTGTGTGTGTGTGTGTGTGTTGCAGGGCTGTTGGTGATAAATCGACGGCAAACACTTAAGATTACAGAGAAATGAAATCTGCTCAATGTTTCAACAGGGGAGCTCAGCCTGAAGGTGCCAAAATATGCACGGCCGTCTCTGTTGTTCTAAAAGCCTTGCATGAAATATTAATTAGCTGCCTCGCCATAGAAAAAGCATGCGAATCTCACAATTCTGTTAGTATCCAATCATACAAAAAAAATGCGAATCTCACAATTATGTTAGTATCCCATCATAGAAAAAAAAAACATGCGAATCTCACAATTATGTTAGTATCCAATCATACCAAAAAAATGCGAATCTCATAATTCTGTTAGTATCCCATCATTGAAATAAACCGGGAGTGATCTCCCCTAAACTTTCTCGAATATTCTTATATAAATTGGAATTTAGACATGATTTTTAATTACTTAAACTTTTTAAAATAGAATAGAATCTCATAGAAAAAAGAATTGCGCACCAAGCGAACGCCAAAACAAAATGTGCATAATAGTGCGCAATATTATTAGTACTTTATAAATTTACATGCGTTTTTTGAGAAATCGGAAATAGCGTAAATTAGCACTTCCGGTCAAAGGAAATTACTCAAAATTTGACAGAAGGTAGAGAATTAGATCTTTTACTTACATGTGAAATTTCATTTATCTATCTGAAATAGTACTCAAGTTATAGGCTTTTTAAAAATTCAAAGTAGGAAAAGTACCACTTCCGGTTATCGGAAATCGCTCAAAAGTTGATACGGATCTACGATTTTGATAAAATACTTATATATGAAATTTCATCAACCTAGCTGTAACTTTACTCAAGTAATCGTGTTTACACACAGACAGACAGACACACAGACATACGGACAAGATTGCAAAATTATGTTTTTCCGTATCAGTGAGGTGTAAAACGTAGAGATTTGTAAAAATCTCGATTTTTATTTTTTTTGCACGATTACAAGACTTTCTCTATACTTTGTATATACGAGAAAGTAAAAAAGCATACAAATCTTCCCACACAGAAAGAGCATGTTAAAAATTCATATTGTAATAACACTGCAACGATGTTTTAAATAAACAAGTAATTAAAAAAAGTCTAGTGACAATTTTAGCGCAATTTCCTTATGTTATCTAAAAATAGCTCTGTCGTAGCGTAAATCAAGAGCAGGGTTAGTAAAACCATTGGTTAGTTATTAAAACGTTTTTTATTAATTTTTTTTTCAGTATTTTACATGTTTTATTTACAATAGAGTAACATGACTAAAAACCATTGCGCGCCTAGCTACCGAACGTGATGTCGCAGCCATTGAACGTGATGGCGCAGCTATTGAACGTGATGACGCGTGTGGTGTGGTTGGAAAAACATGCCTACTAATTCGGCCCAAATTTTAATTAATTCAAAAAAAAAATTGTGACCGAACGAAAGGATATTTTTGAAAACTTTCTTCGGCAATATTGTTCTAAATTATGGCAGGAATCGATTGGTACATGTTTCAAGTCACTAAGTGGTCTGGTTGCCGAGATATGGCCCAAAAACTGCATTTTTTCGAGGTTTTTTGGCTTTTTCGGGAAATCCATGAAAGAAACCCTTAATTTTTATGGCCTATGTTCATCCTCGTAACTTGCTTAACATAATTTCTTTTGTTACTAGTCATCGATATTGCTTCGTTGAGGAGGAGATACGACTTAAAGCCCGGACACACATTCATACATCCATACATTCATCCATCCATACATTCCCAGAAATGACGAGTTAATAAACGCAATTCTCCAGAATGGAAATTGCGCTAAAAAGTTAATTTCTCCTTTCGTATCAAGTAGGACTGTTCATCTGTATCTTGACTACGGCATATGAAGGGGTGATGGTGTCAGCATTAGGCCTAGAGGCCTTTACTTTTCCCAAAGTGAATCAGGTACCCATCAGAGCTGAGTGGACTCAGTGACGTACTAGAGGCTCGAGTCTCAGATCCGACCTCGAGACTTTCGGATTAGCAGTTGAGCTCTCTACCACCAGACAAGACCTTTCCACATTTGTTCAAATACTTACGTTAATGGCATTTTTAACAGTCCAATAACAACTGCTGCAATCGAATGTTCGATTTTAAGTGTTTTTAAAATGTTCTTTTATTTGTATTCACCTTTTTTAGTTTAAAAAAAAGATGCCTCTTTGCACCTGGAAATCCCTGGGCAGATGAAGAGCGTTTTTTTTTATGACCACGACATGTGAAGTGATAATGCGACAGGCACTATGCTAAGCCGCCTTTACTTTCCCTACCGTGAGTCAGGTACTCATTAGGGCTGGGTAGACTCATGACGTCCTACGAACTCGAACCCAGGATTCGAACTAGTAACCGTACGCCCTCCATGAGTCGGACAAACTTGGTTTTGAAATTTTGTGTGTGTATGTGTCTGAGAACACGATTATTCGAATACTATTTCAGTTATGATGGCGAAATTTCATATATAGCTGGAGGGGTACTTACTCTACTTCCAGTTTCTCAAAAAAATCAATAACTCAAGTATCGTTTAAGGTTAAGTGAACGAAATTCCACACTAAAGTATTACATTGTATGCGCAGGTTTCTATCAATTGTTGAACGATTTCCTTTAAAATGAAGTGGGAACGCGATAACTTGAGAACTGTTTTGAAGATGAAATAGCATATATAAGTAAAAGCTCTTATACTTTGATTACTTTCATGTCTGAGTGATCACCTATATCCGGAAGTGATACTTTATTTCTGGTTTCTAAAACACCGATAACCTGCGTGCCGTTTCAGCTAGGTGGACGAAGTTTTATACATAAGAGTATGAGATCTTATACACTGGTTTCTATAAAATTTTGAGTGAGTTTCAGTTACCGGAAGTAGTAATTTACTTACACATTTTCTGATTTCTTAAAAACACTCACACCAATTTATACATACATAACACACAAGCACACACCAACTTACACATACACGACATACACGATAACACGCCAACTTACATATTATACTCGATGACATACCAACTTACACATGCACAATGACACACCAACTAACACACATACACACAATGAGACACTAACTTACACATGCACGATAACACACCTACGCACACACAAATGATGACACACTTACCTACACACACAATGACACACCAACTAACCCACCAACTTACACACACAAACTAACACACCAACCTACACACACACATTGACACACCAACTAACACACCAACTAACACACCAACCTACACACACACAACTAACACACCAACCTACACACACACACACATTGACACACCAACTAACACACCAACTAACACACCAACCTACACACACACATTGATACACCAACTACACACCAACTAACACACCAACTTACACACACACAAACTAACACACCAAACAACACACACACACATTGACACACCAACTAACACACCAACTTACACATACACCATAACACACCTACGTACACACCAATGATGACACACCAACCTACACACCAACTAACACACCAACTAACACACACAGGATGACACACACAATCAAACACACCACAAACCAGCACTAGCAGACCTGTGTGTAAAAAAAAAAAACCTCAGATATCGATCTACCCCACCCTGGCACCATTCACGTCAAAACAACACGGCAATTTCATTTCGTCCACCCGAAAGTCGTTTCGTTGCTATTTCGTGTCAGCCCCTGGATAGCTAATCAATACTTGTTTTAAATTAACTTTAATTAACATGGTCAATGTACACGATGACCTACCATTACATAACCACGGCCGTGTGTGTTATCTATGTCCATTTATCAGATATATAATTGCCAGTTTTACTTTACATTAATTTATAACACTGTAGCTTTCGTGAGTTTTCAAGTACGTTAATGATAAATTCAGACCTTAAGATGCTTTTACTAATTGCTTACCTTTGAAGTCCAAGAAGATTTGAATATTATTTGATTATATAATTGGGCGATAACAGAGACTGAACTCTCCAAAAATTAGCTTCGACAACCTTTTTTTTTTCTAAATGAGCTGAATATATTTTAAATTATAAAATTGTATTACATGGGTTTTTTTTAAATTAGTTACTGGGTGTTTTTAAGGTAAACATTTGAGCTAATTAGAGTTCATAAAAATGTAAAAAAAAAAAAAAAATGCTGGTACTCAAGCAAATTAATAAGAGAACCCGGAAGTCTTGTTAGAAGACAACATGTCTGCTTTTGCTTACATTTTAAAAATCTCCGGAGATCAACCTTACGCACGCGTACAACAGATATCACTTATTCATAGAGTACTCAATTTTCAGTTAAATTAGCTTTTAGATATAGTACAGATACATGGTAGTTGATGCTGGAACGTTTTTACATAATTTAAAGCGTACTCTAGCACAGGCTTGTGGGTGCTAACTTTACCTTGCTCGGGTCAAGGTAATTATCTCCCACCTCATCAGTTATCCCTGGTTCCATTACCTCCCTGTCAATTACTGCGCAGGTAATTAACCCCCTCCCCTCTTTAGAATATAATTTTACCAATACCTATCCCCACTGGCTGTAAGGTTCTAAAAAGGTATTTTACTTGTTATCCCTATCAATCTCCATATCCAGCGCCCTAATTCTGTCCCTATTCTAAACACTAATCATAATCGTGTCCCTATCCATACTGGATAATAGCTGTAGCTTAATTTCCCATACTCTAATTAGCCACTTTAAAATGTACGGCTATAGACCGGCACACTCGTATTATGGCGAGAGTACTATTGCCCAAAACTCTCAAGTTCCACATCAGAACTTGCTATTATAGATAGCTTATTTCAAGGGAAATAAAGAAGTTTAGCTTAGGGTTATCTATACATTTCTCTCCTATGCTGAAATCACTTTTTTTAAATATTTGCCTGGTTTCGACATGTATAATTTTGAATTGCTTATCTCCAAAAGTAAAGTTAATTCTTATAATTATTGTCTTTTTTTACCAAAGCATGTTTTAATGCCACCTCTTGCTCGTGCAGCCAGAGCCGTCTGATGTAAGCATTATGCCGTCACTACCCTCCCACATCCGGTTTCATGACGCACTTTTGCTATGGGTTGCTCTGCCTCAGTAGACGTGAAGTCCCTGCAATGGCCGACTAGGAAACAATGCTGCTCTAAGATGGACGAGGTTGACCTCAGTCCAGCCAGCAAGACAAGCACGCCAAGGAACTGGATGTCTCTCACTCAAAACCTTCAGGTCAGTTTTTGTTTCGTTAACTTTGTGCAGTTTTGTTTTTAAAATACTGGAAGTAGTTGTTAATTAACTAGTCCAAAAGTCTTGTGAACTTCCAAAGTTATTTGGTGTTAACTTTTACAGTGTACGAATTTAATTTTTGAATAATTAAATGTAAAAACAAAATTATTTCTAAGAGTAAGCTTTTAAAATTAATTTATTCTAGACCGTTTAGTTCAAAACTTGAATTGCTGGGTGGTAAATGTTTAATTTTCTTGTAAGTTGTTGCTAATTTAATTAAGTTATTTAAAACATGTATTGGTTCGTTCATATTATATTTTTACCTTCTCGAGTTAACATAAACTTACCTCGATGTTAAACCAATCTAGGTTTATGCTTTTAATTACTTAATTTCAACGTTTCTCCGCACGAAAATGTGTCTATCTAATTAGCTTACATGTATATGCTATTTGCACCACGAATTCCTGCCGTATTAGGTCGGGTAGGAAAACAAAAACAAAGTTAACTGACTGGTAGTGTTGGCTGATAGAAGATGGCGTGATGTCGGCACGACTTAACACACCAGCACATAGTTTCATGTTCACAAATAGAAACTATTAACTAGCTGTACCTCAGTGAGTTATTCCAGAGGCGTAGAAGGGGGGGAGGGCATATATCTCCGGGCGCCGGGAAGGGTCGCTACGCCTCTGAGTTATTCACATTCATGTGTTATTGTGTCCGTTCATGCACCTCTGTGAATTATTCACATTCATGTGTGTGTTCTAGTATACTATTACTTTACTACTGAAACCAACTGAATCTACAGACAGTTTCAAAGCGTATGTGGGGATGTGAGAGCGGGTGTTATATTTTTGTGAAAAGTGTGGATTTTTTCCAATATTAAATTATGAAATAAAACGAAAATGGGATTTCTACATGCCCTAAAGTAATAAGTAGATTCTGATGTCTGAATCCTTTTTACACCGATTCAGAGTTTAGTGCCCATGATCCGAGTAGTTTCTCTTGTTCGTGAAGTTTTTAAAAAAACACATGTTACTGACTAGACGTTATCCAGTCACAGCGAGATATAACGTCACTTGGCCTGACCATAGCTATTTATAGATCAACTTTATATACCGTCGTTATGCTGTGTTGGTTTAAGGAAAAAAAAACAAGTGTTGATCAGTGAAGCAAAAGCTACGTTTTGTTTCCATGGCAACAGATAGAATTGATACCACAAAACAGATGTTCAGTAAATATGATTTAAATCTCTGCTAGCATTGACCCAACAATGGCCAGTGTGGGTTTAACCACACGACAACTTTTGCTAACCACGCAACAACTTCTGCTAGCCACGCGACAACTTCTGCTAGCCACACGACAACTTCTGCTAGCCACACGACAACTTCTGCTAGCCACATGACAACTTCTGCTAGCCACACGACAACTTCTGCTAGTCACGCAACAACTTCTGCTAGCCACACGACAACTTCTGCTAGTCACGCAACAACTTCTGCTAGCCACACGACAACTTCTGCTAGCCACGCAACAACTTATGCTAGCCACGCAACAACTTCTGCTAGCCACACGACAACTTCTGCTAGCCACACGACAACTTCTGCTAGTTACACGACAACTTCTGGCTAGCCTTCACCAAACAGTGGGACTAGCCACACGACAACTTCTGCTAGCCACACGACAACTTCTGCTAGCCACACGACAACTTCTGCTAGCAACACAACTTTTAGCCAGCCTTCACTAAACAACGGCGTTTGTGGGACTAGCCACACGACAACCTCTGCTAGCCTTGACCAAGCAGTGGGGTTAGCCACACGACAACTTGCTAGCCACACGACACCCACATGTTTTAAGCTACCGAAGAACACTTCTCTTACACTTCTTGATTTAAAAACTATTTCAGGTGAATTTGGAAGCTGCTTTTAAGGATGTAAAACTTATTCAAAATGGATTTTATGGGCACATCTTCTCAATCTTTTCTTAACACCAAAACTGGCAATGACACCTGACAAAACAGTTTCGGATCTCTGATCAAAAACCTTCTGTAAGGTCACGTTACCGGCCGATACGTTGACTTAATAATTCTGAAAAATAGACGGACGATGAGTTCAACTCAAATTTAACCAGTAGTACTGGATTATAAATTGTTTAAGCTGATCAATTGTTCGACATAGACATCAGATTAAAAAAATTCGTGTATCAGACGTCTAGTATAACGCAGTCTAATTTGCAGCCTACATCGGTTGTTGCGGTGACTCATAACATTTTTTTAAACTATACTATCGGGTGATTTGGTAAGTCTAAACTACCGAAATTATTGGAATGTAAACCAAATTGTCAATAAAAAATTTAAACTATTGAATTTGGTTAATGACTAAAACAGCGGTTTCCTGAACTTCTGTTACTCTTATTCCTTTAAAAAGCCAATATCTTGGTTCAGTGGGGTCACTAGGTCGAGTAACATTCGGTGCGGTAAACTCAGGGTCGTCTCCAGTTTGGGAACCGCTGGCCTGCGTGGAAGAAACTTCTCCTTTACAACCAAGCAACGTTGTCTCATCCTCCTCTAAACTTGCGTGAGACTAGCCATCCCACTCTTGCTGATGTCACTTCAACAACTGAAGCGAAACGATTCTTTTAAAATCATTTTTTAGCTGTTTTAGCGATGTATTCAGACTGGAGCAAACTGACCTTGTGATAAATGTACGCTATCACTCAATGCTAAAAACAGACCAAAAGCCTCATTAAAAGCGATATTTTCCAAAACAGTAACTGACGCATCATCATGGATTAAAAGATAACAAGAAGAGAAGGCCTTAAGCTGCTGAATGGCTTCAATAGTGGGTTTCTGTTGATACGTCTAGGCATTTTTAAACTGCTTAAACTGTGTTTGAGTTGCTGATACTTATCAGAATTGCAGATGAAATCCTAACACGTCATAACATGAGAAATAATAAAATATATATATGTATATATATATATATATATATATATATATATATATATATATATATATATATATATATATATATATATATATATATATATATGTGTGTGTGTGTGTGTGTGTGTGTGTAGATGTATATATAGATGTATATATATATATATATATATATATATATATATATATATATATATGTACATCTATATATACACACACACACACACACACACACATATATATATATATATATATATATATATATATATATATATATATATATATATATATATATATATGTATATATAGATGTACATATATATATATATATATATATATATATATATATATATATATATATATATATATATATATATATATATATATATATATATATATATATATATATAATTAAATTAAATAAAAAATATATATCATGTTCGGTGGTGAAGGGGTGGGGGGGTGGGGTTGTGCAACAATAAGTATTGATGGAACACATGCACTGCCAACTGTGAAATAAATGTATTGCATTGACAGGCATACACCAAACGTAAACAGCTTGAAGACAAGCAGCTGTTTGTTGATGCTCAGTTCCCGCCTCGTGACGTCTCCATTGGCAACAAGACTCATAAACACGGCCAGAAGAAAATTGTATGGAAAAGACCCCATGTAGGAATCTCAATAGAATATTGTGTTATATATGAAGGGATATATTATGTAAATAGTATACATATACAAATATAGATAAAGCATATTGTGTGTTTTAGAATTATATGGAGGGATATATTATTTATATAGATGTACACATACATATTTATATATAACATATTGTGTGTTATATATGGAGGGATACATTCTTTATATAGATGTATACATATACAAATATATGAAAAGCATATTGTATGTTTTATGTAGGGATAATGTAAAGCCCATATGTTGGTCTAAGAGCTAACCAGTTTTAGGACAACTGGCCATTGATTAATTCCCGGCTTTCCGTTATTTCCTTAAGTCGGTGAGCATTATTTTAGTAGCAACCTAATTTCCCAACTATTGATTTTGATTGATGCAACAGGAACTATCCCTCCACCCAGTGCTGGTATCTGATGGTACCAGCCGCCATGACTTGAGGCAGGGAGATTTAAACGATTGCTGGTTTCTCTCCACTCTGTCGTCCATTGCTGAGAAACCACAGCTCATTTCAAAGGTTGGAACTTTAGTAAAACACATAATACCTGGTGTACCTGGGGGTTTTTTTTTATTGATTGTCGGGGTTAGGGGGTCATGGGGTTATCTCGTTTACAGCTAGGGGAAGGGGGTCGTTGAATGGAATATTTTCATGGTAAAAAAATGAAGCAGTTTCAGGTAAAAGTAAATGTGCGTACTGCTGTTGGTCTAATGTAATGGATCAATAAACTAATATCCATATTGTAGTGTTTTAACAGTGTACCATGATACATGTAATTTAAATATAGGCCTACTATTGGCTAATCGTTCAGTACATGCTATCGGATTGTATTAATAATTTAGTATTTCCCCGTAGCCGTGGGCACATCATCTCATAGAACTAGTACCTTGGCTTAATGGTAAGGGGGAAGGGTAATAGAAAAACCAGGACATTAAAACGCTTTTCTACTGAATAGCCTTGAAGTCACTGCAATGTCAGTTTTAATTTTTACACACACACACACACACACAAACACACCACCACACCCAACCCTCGTCCTCGGTCGTTCAATTTCCTGCGTTTTAAATTACTGTTATTGTTGGGGGTTTTTTTTTCTAATTTCTTCTTCCATTTTTTTTTCAAGGGTGGTTATTTTTCTGTCATTTTATTTCCATTAGAATTTTTTTAAAGTCCTTGCATAATGTAAGGACTGTCAAGTGTTTAGTGGCATGATTTAGTAGCGGAACTTCTAAGGCAAGTTTCAGGCTTCTGTTTCTCTTGGCAATCGAGGTCTGGGGTAACATGATCCTTGTTTTTATAGGTTCAAGCCTCTAGAGTTTCATATTGTTTCGCTGAATGACAACCAAAAACGAAGCATAGACAAGAGACAGTTAACTAGAGTGTTGTAACAGATTCGTTACATAAATTAACTAGAAAACAAAAGGTTTTGAAATGGCAGAAAAAGAAAGATTAAATGTCACAGAAATAAATTAGATAACAAGTCAGAAAAATAAGCTTTAAAAAAAGGAAATAATTCAATTACGTAACAATTTACAAATCTTTATTCCCTAAAAATTGTTTTGTGGGGAAAGGGAAGCAACTACGTGACTTCGTGTTGGCCAATGTTTGGTTTCGTTTTCGAACTATCTCCGTCTCTGTTTCTTGTAAACAATAGCTTAATATTAATCAATTTTTTAAAACGATAAACATTTTATAGATTTTAAAATAGGTCCCAGATTCTGTGATTTCAAAATTCAACAATTATTGAATTCCTTTTTGTAGATCATACCGGAAGACACCAGCTTTGGTACGAGTGAGTACAATGGGAGGTTTCACTGCCGCTTTTGGCAGTTCGGAAGCTGGGTGGACGTTTACGTTGACGACTTGCTGCCTACCGTGGATGGAAACCTGCTGTTTGCCAGGTCGTCTGACCCCAATGAATATTGGGTCTCCTTGGTGGAAAAAGCCTACGCTAAGTAAATCGTGATTTTAATTGTTTAGAAGATTAGGGTGGTATGGTGTGAATATTGGGTCTCCTTGGTGGGAAAAGCCTATGCTAAGTAAATCGTGATTTTAATTGTTTAGAAGATTAGGGTGGTATTGTATCAATATTGGGTCTCCTTGGTGGAAAAGCGTATGCTAAGTAAATCGTGATTTTAATTGTTTACAAGATTAGGGTGGTATGGTATGTTCGAGTTGGAAAACTAAATGCTAAGGAGATTCTTCCAAAGTTAGAAAATTAATGGGGTGGTATACGTGGTCGTATAGTATGGAAATGCTAATATGTGTTGTAATAATATTTTGGCTAAAGACTTAAATGTGGTCCCTGTCCACCCAACTCTAATAGCTACCTAACCCAACCAAAGCTAAAGACTCCATATGCTCACGTACCTCTACAACATCAGCCCTGTAGAATATCAGCTCCATATGAGTGTATTAACCTACTTTTCATATAAGAAGATATTTTTAATGCTCCATTTATTTAAGAACTTGTGGTATACCATTTGTTATAAACTTAATGTAAAGTTGAAGAATAAGTAAAAGGATACTTTTGCCAAACTTCAGGTTGAACAAATCCTATGCAGCTCTTGAATACGGCTTTGAAGCTGACGCTTACACTGACCTGACAGGGGGTCTGGCTGAGTGGTACACGCCTGCTGACCTCAGAGAGAACGACTTTTACCTCATGAGGGCAGCTTTTCAGTGCGGAGCTGTCATTGGCTGTCTTAGTCTTGTAAGCTGGACATGTTCTAAATTTTAACTACTTAAGTTAAAAGCTATTCCACAATTATTTTTTATAAACTTCAGAAAAGATTTTTTTTAACTGCTGAAGCTGTTCTACATTCATTGAACAACTTTAGCTTTAACTTTTTAATACAATTTTCCAATCAAATGTTTGATACTTAACAATTTAATTTTTTTTTATATATTTAGGACAGAAACAACTCTGTAGCTAAAGATGAGAAAGGTATGGTGTCAAATCACTCCTATGTAGTTACTGGTATTGAGGAAGTTCCCTACCTTGACAGAGCAGCTAAAATAATCAGAGTCCGAAATCCATGGGGGGATACAGAATGGCAAGGGGAGTGGTGTGATGGGTGAGTAATGGTGTGGGGGTTAGTAGTGGTGTGGTGTGTGAGTAGTGGTGTGATGTGGGGGTTAGTAGTGGTGTGATGTGGGGGTTAGTAGTGGTGTGATGTGGGGGGAGTGGTGTGGGGGTTAGTAGTGGTGTGATGTTGGGGGAGTGGTGTGGGGGTTAGTAGTGGTGTGATAGGTGAGGTGTGGTGTGGGGGTTAGTAGTGGTGTGGTGTGGGGGTTAGTAGTGGTGTGATGTGGGGGGAGTGGTGTGGGGGTTAGTAGTGGTGTGATAGGTGAGGTGTGGTGTGGGGGTTAGTAGTGGTGTGATGGGTGAGTAATGGTGTGGGGGTTAGTAGTGGTGTGATGTGGGGGGAGTGGTGTGGTGTGCGGGGAGTGGTGTGATGTGGGGGAGTGGTGTGATGGGTGAGTAATGGTGTGGGGGTTAGTAGTGGTGTGGTGTGTGAGTAGTGGTGTGGTGTGGGGGCAGATGGAAACCTAGGAAAATTTCAGTGGGCTGCCTGTATATCAGGAACCACAAGGTTCAGTACTGCATTAGGCCGTAATTTTTTTTTTTAAATTTGCTCATTGAATAATTTAATTAATTATCCATCCTATTTGTCATTTTGTTATTATATATTGAACTAGATCTATATTGCAATGTGTAAAGTAACCTGTGACTTTGTAGACATCCTACCTCAGTCTTAGAAGATATAGTGAAAATTAAGTCTGTTAGGGTGACTTTTATTTATTTCCTGGGCTGCCTGGATGCAGCCAGTCCAGCGTTGGTGGTGTGATGGGTGGGTAGAGTGGTAAGATGAACGCACGGTTTGATGGGTGAGCCGGTTCACATTACATACTTTCATATAGCAGATACTTGTTTAGTTAAACTTATCTTTGCCTATTTGAAGCTACAAGAATTTGTTTTATTATTTTATAACACTTCACTACCCATTCATTTAAATAAATCTTGTTCTGTATTTTTGTATAGTGGTGATGAGTGGAACAGGGTGCCTGAAGCAGTCAAAAGAGAATTAAATGTTACAGCTCAGGATGATGGGGAGTTCTGGATGTCTTTCAATGATTTCAAAAGGGAATATTGTAATATGATAATTTGCAATATGTCTCCAGACTTTGACCATGATGGTATTAGTGATAAAGCAGGTCAGTGTTATGTAGATTAGCTAAAACCACGATTAGAATAATGTTTCTTACTTGTGTGTCCTTTTAAATCTTAAAAACACTCGACATTCCCTTTTTAAATGCTGATATTTTTATTTATTTCCTATAAAATATAGACATATTTTGTCATAAATTTCCCACACTAAATTTTTTTTTTTTAATTTCAGAGTATCAGGTTCATCTCCATGGTAACTGGACTGCTGGTCTGAATGCTGGTGGGTGGATTGAGTGTGACACTTTTCATCTAAACCCTCAGTATCACGTGGTTATACATAGTGATGGTAAGTAAAGTTACATTCACACATCACTACTTGCATAATTTTGTTTCTCTGGCTGTCACTAGATGTGGACAGTATCCGGTTAGATCAGTTTTAAAATCAAAACTCAGCGCACATTCACATCTGGCTTTAAAAATAACACTGGTTTTGTAAACAGTTCTTGAGTACATCCAGCTCTGATGGGTACCTGACTCATGTTAGGTAAAGTAAACGCAGTTGGGCATAATGCTAACCACACCATCTAGTCATATCCCATGGTCTAGAAATAGATGAACTATACTTCATCTGCCCTATGGATTATTAGGTCTGAAGGGGGAACTTGACCACATGCAAGGGAGGATGGATCTAGGGTTAAGAGACTCAACTTTCTAAATTGGTTAAAGTAAAATAAGTGCCAAAATTTATTATTGAATTTATTCTGTTGAGAAATTTTACTCATAAAATAAAATAAATTATCTGAAATTATAAAATGTTAATTTTAAAATCAATAGGCCTTAATGTTGGTTTTTTTTTTTGTTTCAAAGTTTTAGTTCAACGTCGATACAGTGGCCGTCTTCCTGTTGTGATTTCCTTGTTACAAGTTTATAAAAGAGGAACTCCAAAAGCCTCAGAAGATGATGGACTTTATGCCATTGGGTTTGAATTATTCCAGGTAAATATTATACTTGACTTTAACTGAATAATCATTGTTACTGAAGTAGGACAAGGGATTTAAATTACTTTTTATTAATGCATTATTTAATTTTAACAGAATTCTCATTTAAACTAGACTTTTTTCATTATCGGAGAAAAAATTTTAAAAAGTTAATTTCACCTTATTTGTTTCATTTTTTTTATAAATGTATGTGTTGCTTCTTGCTCAATCATATGAGTATAGGGTTCAATTTTTTTAAAATAAGCAAAATAGTGATTTTAAGCCTCACTTTTCTAATGCATGTCGGAATATTTAAATTTCTTCAATAGAATGCATTAAGTGTTCTGTTGCATTTTTATATTTTCCTAGTTAAATATTTTATTTTTCAATGAATTCTAGCTACCCGGTGTGCCAATCAGCCCCTTGGGTGCAGACTTCTTCCAAGCTATAGACCCACTGATGCCGGAGAATGAGGAAACCTATGCCAAGTACAGAGAGACTTCTGGAAGGTTTTTTTTACAACCCGGAGACTACTTACTGGTTCCATCCACTCATGAACCTGGGAAATCCAGGGAATATCTCTTCAGACTCTTCTCTGTTAGCAAGATAGAATGTATGTAAGTATGTCCACAGGTTTTTTTTTTATTGAACTCTGTAGGATATGTACAATATATTTACTACATACATCCATAAAATATGCAGAACAAATACCATAGCAAATCAATGTTTCTTAGGATAAATTAACAATATGTTTAGTTAAACAAAAATAAAATAATTAAAAATGTATGCGTGCTAATCATTTAAATTTTTGTTTCTGATTTTCTATTTCAGATGTGTAGGAAATTTAACGTCCACAAGCTCTTAGCATGCGGATTCACGCTCCTGTTGATATTTTTTGTCACTCATTTGTCTCACTTAGATTGACATTCTTGTTGATACTAATTCTCACACATTTCTCTCTCTTAGATTCACATTCATGTTGATACTTATTCTCACACATTTCTCTCCCTTAGATTCACATTCTTGTAAATACTAATTCTCACACATTTCTCTCTCTTAGATTCACATTCTTGTTGGTATTTTTTTCACTCTTCTCACTTAGATCTGTCTGACTACCACATTTTACTGGCTGTCTAAATTAGCTAACATTTTTCATTTAGGGGTCTTCCACACAAACATTTTAAAATTTTTAACCACCCCATGATAACTTTAGATGAACCTCCTCAACCACAGCTTCGCAATTTTAAAAATTATGAACAAATGATAACTGATAACTCATCATCATCTTTTCCCTTTTGTGACCAAAACAGGTGAGTCTCCAGTAATTTTCCTCTCAGGCCCCTAGGACAATCCTGTCTCTGTAATCTGCTTCCTCGCAGTGTGCCTCCCTTGGCCTTCCGTTTTCTTTTTTTTTAGGCATCCAGTTTTGTGTCATTCCTGCTATATGAGTTTGATAGATAAGTTCTTCATTTAATTTGATGGTTTTTATTTCCAAATCAAGAAAAATTGATGAAGGGTATTAAACATTTATTTATTACTTAGAAGTTTTACAAGTATTATTATTTTACAGCATTATATGTCCTAAGGCCCCCAGAAGTTCATGAGGCTTGTCTGTTTTGTAATCCCTCACAAAGGTACTCATTTTATACACATAGGTAGTGATTTAATGACCCACTTAGCTGTTTTTGTACTAACATATTTTTTTTTATATGCTAATTAAAGGCTTTGTGTTTGTTGTAATATACAAGCATGTTCAATTCATAGTGGATGTTCACATATACCCAGACCATATTGATGTCATACATGGATGACCCTTAGTTTCAATATTTATTGAATCTTTATGACTAGCATTTATTAATCTGATGGATGTGTTATTATATGATTTTATATTAATGCAACTGAAAAGAGCAGCTGTGATACTATTTTTATTGAAAAAATGCATGTTATATTTTATTCCACAATAAGTATATGTATATATGTATATAGTGCATTTGATTGTTGTTTTTATACAAACCATTTTTACTTTCTCGTATATACGAAGTATAGAGAAAGTCTTGTAATCGTGCAAAAAAAAAAAATCGAGATTTTTGCAAATCTCGACGTTTTACATCTCACTGATACGGAAAAACATAATTTTGCAATCTTGTCCGTATGTCTGTGTGTCTGTGTGTGTGTGTGTGTGTCCGTGTGTAAACACGATAACTTGAGTACCGTTACAGCTAGGTTGATGAAATTTCATATACAAGTATTTTATCAAAATCGTAGATCCGTATCAACTTTTGAGCGATTTCGGATAACCGGAAGTGGTACTTTTTCTACTTTGAATTTTTCAAAAGCCTATAACTTGAGTACTATTTCAGATAGATAAATGAAATTTGATATGTAAGTAAAAGATCTAATTCTCTACCTTCTGTCAAATTTTGAGAATTTTTCGTTGACTGGAAGTACTTATTTACGCTACTTCCGATTTCTCAAAAAACTAATGTAAATTTTAAAAGTACTAATAATATTGCGCACTATTATGCGCTTTTTTATTCGCGTTCACTTGGTGTGCAATTAATTTGTCTACGAGATTTTATTCTATTTTTAAAACTTTAAGTATTTAAAATGGATTAACCCATATTCTGCTAGCGTCCCACTTATGGGACGCTTGGTAAAAAAATTGCTAAAATTTATTAAATACTAGTTAAAACACAAATTATGTTTCATTGAATTTGAAAATGGCTAAACTATTGAATTTGTGTGTGTTTTGTGAAAAAAATTAATTTAGAAAAATGTTATAGTGCCGGATTTGCAGGACTTGTCAAAATGGCGGAAAAAAGAAAACATGCGCACAGGATAATGCATATCTTCTAAAATATTAACATTTTAAGTGCAAAATACATTTGAAACTTGTAGCAGTACCATATTTCTATCTGATAAAAATTAAAAAATAACAATTTTTTTTTACCACTTCGTTATATCAAGTGTACAACAAGCGTCCCATAAGTGGGACGCTAGCAACGAATGGCCCCATGTAGATTGTTACACAAACGTCACATTTATTGGACACTAGCGAGAAACAAAGATGCAAATGTTTATGTTAAATGGTTATTTATGGTGAAACAATTGTTGACTTTGTTAACTGCTGAATTTGGGGTGTTAAGTAGTATGTATAGATATTTAATTATGACCTTGACCTATATTTATGCAGATTGTTACACAAACGTCACATTTATTGGACACTAGCGTGAAACACAGATGCAAATATTTATGTTAAATGGTTATTTATGGTGAAACAATTGTTGACTTTGTTAACTGTTGACTTTGGGGTGTTAAGTAGTATTTATAGATATTTAATTATGACCTTGAGCTATATTTTCTTATATATTATTGTGTTAGAAAATTGCAAATATTGAAAAAATTACATTTTATTTTTAAGTTTTCAAAATTACACTTACTGAAGTATTTAATACCATTGAATACAAACTAATTTAGTATTGCTGTAAATTTACTAGCGCGTGATATTAAAATTATAACAAACCAGAATAATAACAATGGCCACGATTTAGGTGAAATGATTCAGTCATGGGGGTTGGTTAACTCTCTTCATATAAGAGGGCTTAAGCTACATATAGCAGAAATGTGAATTAGCTGTGTACAGTTGTCATGCCCCAATAATATCCCCCTCCAAAGGTTACCGATACCAGCTTTACTTTGTTAACTTTTTAAGGAGATTCCTGGTGTTAGATTGGGAGCTGTTCGCATAGTGAGGTGCATACATGGATGAGAGCCATGAACACTCAATACAAGCCCCCAGAGACGGATCCGTGCCCTAGAAATAAGATGTCTGATGTCCTAATGTACGTCTGTGGGGGAGGGGGGAAATAGCGAGGGTAACAAAAGAGAAGATGGCTGGATGACATCTGGGACTGGACCGGAACATCTTTTGCAAATTCACTAAGGGCAGAGTTTCTTTCAGGCATCATTTCGGAGGAGGGTGGGGGGCTCTGCCCCCAGAAGAAAATAGAATTTATATACAAAACATACTTTTACCAATGTCCACCCTTCCCCTGAAATTTAAGTCCCCACCCCTGAAAATTTCAAGTACGCCCCCAAAAAAAATCAATTATTTATATTTAATTATATTACAGTTTCGATGAATAATAACAGTATTTGTGATCATGTGTGTATAATTAGATGTACTAGTCACAGCTTTACTTATGTCCAAGTGTTGTTCACTTTGATGGATGCTAGATTGAAAGAAAACTAGACTTTTGAACATAATTTCTGCATTTTAGACCATGGTATGGCTAACCCAATTGATCATTATCAGTATTTTTAGCTGTCCTAAACAATTAAATCATTGGTCTAACAATACAAGATCAGTACACAGCTTAATTTTCGCGTGATTAGCCATATTTCGTGAAAGATGATTTTATTTTTCAATAAATGTACATGGGGCCGTTCGTTGCTAGCGTCCCATTTATGGGACGTTTTTTAAAAAATCGATATTTAAAAAAGTATTGATTTAAAAAAAAAATCCATAGTCATTCCTTCATTCAGTGCCCAAAAGCTAAACCATATCAAAAAATTATAAAAATTTGAGACCTTGGGATAATATGGGTTAAAAATCATGTCTATAGCCCGAGTTCCCATCCCCTGTTATTTTATATAAGAATATTCGAGAAAGTTTAGGGGAGATCACTCCCGGTTTATTAAATATTCTTTTGCAGATGTGTATTCATATTTGATTTAAACTTATTTTAATTTGTTGGGAAAACTTTTTTGTAAATTTGTTAGCTGAAATTGTGTTTATAAATTTCTCAAGCCTATAAAGCCTATATAATAAAGCCTATTTACTAGAAAGGCCTGCTTGTGTTCAGTTTACATCTTGTTTAACATACAATATTTTTTTGGTAGTTTCCTTCATAGGGAAACACATTTATTATTGATCCTAAGTCTAATGACAGTTTTTAACTATTACCTTCTATGTTTTTATTATGCCTGTGCATGAGAATAAATTACCACAATCATTACTAATCAACAAAAAAAATTATCAATTTTTAAAAGGTATTTCTTTCTGATTGTTTCATCAGCTTTGCTTTGAATACTTGTTAATGTTTTGCTTTTCACATGATCTAAGTTTTTATTAGCCATTTTACAATTGTGTATATATATTTTATAGAGATATTTAACTACATTAAATAATGAACTGAATGACTTTCACAAGTGTTTTATATTTTTACTATGTAATGTCTTTTTAAATGTCTGTATCAAGATTATTATTTTATACAAACAAACAAAAAATTAAAATAACACAGTTTTAAGGGCAATTGTTTTATTTTACCATCAATCATATTTCCTTAAGACTTATGGTTATCTAATTATATATTGGTGAATTAATTTAGAATTTTTTGTTCAGTTTTTAATCAAAATGAAAACAATTTATATCATAACAGGAATTTTTACTGATTAAATTGTACATTCTACACTTTGATGTATACATACCAAAGAATAAAACATATTCAAGAAAAAAATTATAAGCTGAAATACCAGGATGGATATAATAACAAAGCATCTAAAAACTACCAAAATCTACTTCTAATATAACAGTTGTAAATTAAGTCTATGGATATACTTAAATCAAATTCAATATGTGTTAAGGTCCAAATAAGCTTTTTAAAAGATGTATGTTTGTTTAGTGTAAATTGTTTAACCAAACAAAAACTAAATTAAGCTATCTGTTAATATTTTGATATTGACTCAAACTTTGACATTCTTTGCAAGATCAGATTATATGTTAACTGCAATATATAAAACAGATATGTTAAGACTATCATTTCACAAACTTTCACTACAAACAAAATCAAATTTCTTTTATGAAATTAATTAAAGAAATTCGCCTACATATTGAATCTTTAAAATAAATATAACCATAAAAATATTTGAAAAACTAAAAAAGAAGAAAATTTAAGTTAAAACTGTGTTAGTTTCCAAACAATCTTGTGACACATGGTGTTAGTAGATTGAGGTTAAAATCTCTAATTATAGTTGATCCTTTGAGTTTGATTAAACCTCGTAATATAAATGCCAATGAGAAAAGACTGCTGAAATTTGATGTTAGAATCATGTGACATTTTAAGATGCGTAAGAAAGAGGAAAAAATATTTTAAGAAATGCACTTCGATATAGACTGTAAAAAGTAACATGGTCAATGCAGCATGGTTTCATAAATATTTTACCACCCCGTTACTTAACTACAAAATGCAGTAGAAATTGTCTCAAAACTTACTAGCTTAAATTGAGTTTACAAGAAAGCTAAGCTAATAGGCAAATTTTGATTTTGAGGAAGTACATAATAATAATAAACTCATAATTCATATATGCTTATTTCATGATTAACCCAAATGCATTATATAACTGTAAAAAAAAATTCACTGTATGATGTTTTACTAAATTACAGTAGTTATATTTCATTTTCTAAAAACATATTACAGTGTTAATATGTAACTGAATAAATTGTTTTTTTTATTTGGATAGTTTTAAAATTATAAGATAATTTCAATGACAAATTAATCAGAATTGTCAAAACCTGATATTTCAGTAGTAAAAAAGCAATTTGAGTAAATAGGCTGTTTGATTTAAAGTTGTTGTTAAAAATCAGCTGTTGGAATTGTCAAATTTTTTTTTAAAACATTGACAATTTCGGAAACCAAAAAAAAATTGTTCATCAGTACCTAATATCAGAGTGTTAAAAACCAAAAATATAAACTATAATGTAATAGGCTGGGTCATTCACTCATTGGAACATGTGCTTATGAAGTCAGTGTGTTGAGGCAATCTTTGCTGAGTTTCATGGGACAAATTTATTCCATAGTCCAATCGAAAGTGTCAAAATCTGCGTCTAAGCAAACACCCATAAGAAAAATGCACAACTCTAGTTGGCCGGGACACAGGCTAGCTAGAATGACTGGTATTTACATTTGAGAGAGGCACTGTGCAAGGATATTCTAAATGTTTTTAATAACAATTTTACTTACACGAATGTTATAATTAACTGAAAATAACATTTTACCAGCCAATTTAAATCAAATAATAACCAAGGTAATGAAATATATTATTAACATTTTCTTGTTTATAATGTACATATTTCTTAAAAAATACCACACCAAAACTATCCAGTATAAATATAAACTCGGAAATAAAAAAATCCCACAAACAAATAAATATTAGTTTAGCTATCCTTGTTTCTTGTTATTAAACATAGAGATACAATAATGTTAATACAAGTGTTACGTGTTTGTAATATATAGCTTCTGCTACAATTGTGATGACAATAAAAAAACTCACATTTTACATTAAACTTTTACTAATGTTAACTGTAGCATTTTAAAATTTTTATTTAATAACTTACAAATATTAGAAAAACTAAATTCTTTATTATTGATAATATTGAGTATAATTGATGATTCAGTGATGGTTTGTCAAAATTGTAGTCACATTTATGATACTTTTCATTTTTTTGTAGAATAAAAAAAAACAAGATCTGTTAGCCACACAACACTGGTGTAGAGAGAAAGAGTATCTACAATTATGCTGTAAAATGTCCATTGGCACATTATTGCAAACCATTTGTGCACAATAAAATGATGGCACAAAAAGCTTATAAATCACAAAATTTACAACCAGGCTGATTTACTTTAAAACACTATGTTACAAAATAGAAAAATGACTCAATGCCACAATAAGCCTCCCATAAATCCTGTTAGTGTAATACTGTTATCAAGATTAAACTGGAGAAATGTTTTTGTTTACTGTGTGTACACATCATGACAAATAAAAAAAAGTCTGGTATACCAGTACAGCATACAGAATTTTGTTTTTAAAATGGAATGAACTAATTTTTTTTAATACTTCAGGAGGATACAGGCATATTTATCTTTATATACATATAATCTACCATTATAGGGTAGCCATTCGGACAATAAAGTAAACAATTAGGTACAAACTACATATTGTGTTTTTATCATTTAAGTTTAAAGTACATCACGATTCACCACAGTAAACTTTAGACATTTTATTGAAAGCAAAACCTTACAATTTTGTAATACAATGAGATATATAAAAATAAAATAAGAGCCAAATTTTAGGTAAAAAAAGTGCAGGCACTTGCTTGATAACTATTCAGTGAAATTAATAATACAACATGGTGTAGCTAAAAAATTGTTTACAAGCTAAGTAAACAACAAATTATTTGTTTTGATAGTTTCTATATATAAATGGAAAGAAATGAAAAAACATTTGTCATGGAATGTTCATGCTAAAATTTAAAAAAAAGGAATTAAGTAACAGTTGAGAAAACAATGACAATTTAATGTGTGTGAAACTAGGGCTATAAAACAAATAGCCTACAAGTAAAAACTGAGGTAGTGATTTACAGCATGTTTACAATTCAAATTAAACTTTTTAATAAAATTTACTCACTACCTACTAATATATTTCAGTATTTTAAATTTTCAGAATGATATAGGCCTTTTTTAAGTAATCACAATCTTTCAAATATCACATATAATTAACTTTAGTGTGCACTAGTATTAAAACAGTAACTAAAGATTCAAATGATAAATATACTGTGTAGTTTAACACTAAAACAAGACTCCACTGTGACTAGATTTGACTATTAAATGTGTAGCAGAGAAGTGATTGAAAAATTTAAAATAGATTAGAACAGCTCGCAAAATAGTTTCATAAATGTGAATTAGAATTTAATGAAAATGTACGCAAATAAAAAAAACATTTATAGTGAGCTGAGCATATCTATTTCCTTACCGTGGAATTTGTAATACAACAACCAGGGTACAATTTTATACATGACTCCATAAAAAATGAGCAGCAAAAAATTCTGTTAGTGTAGTTTGTAGGTAAATACAGGTGACCTGATATAAAATAAACTAACAATCACAATCCAAATTGTATATGATTTGGTATTGCTCTAAGTGCAAGATTAAAGAAATATCAAAATAACTCACAATTTGAGGATCAAAAATATTTATGTTTAAATTTGTAACAAAACTAACATATTTCCTTCTCTCACAACTAAAAAATGTTCACTTTCAAAGTGAACAGATGTTAATTTTTCTTGTCTAAAACTAATTACATTTTCTATCCTCAATAAATATATTTTAAATTTTATAGTTTTACAACTGTTTAAACAATTTTTTAAAAACTATAGTGAGAACATGAACTAAAAAACACTTCTAAAATAAAAATTGTTTCAGTTGTACTTACAAGATAGCTTAAAGTTAAAGTGAGGGAGAGCTGATTACAAAGTGCAGTTACAAGTGAGATTAAAACTTGTATACAACCAAAATCTAACTCATATGCTTTACAAAATTTAGGCTGACCACTACTTTATCAGACAGCATCTATTGAATGTGAAACTTCAGAGAACAACATCACCCCATCTAATTTAAGCCTTTGAAATGATCACATGTAAATAACATATCTGCAGTACACCTATAAATATCCTTCAGTCAAAAAAATACAAAATAAAGGATATATAATTTTAAAATATGCAATAACTTTTTTCCACAAGTTTTGACTGAAAAATAATCTTGGTTGAGTACACGTGAGCTGTGATTTCATTTTGTTATCTCATAATATACCTTTGTGTGACAGTTGTTCGATGCTAGCAAAATTATGCCACAAACCATTTGTTCATTTATTCATGTTAGCTTTGAGTGCAAAAACCATAGAAAGGTTTAACAATTTTACATTGCCTAATTTCTTTATGAAAAAAGCTGATAAATTGTTATCTAGCATTGCATTATTTTCAATGCAAAAGTGTACCTTAGTAATGATGACTTAGCTAGAAAAATAATTCACCTATTACAGCACCATACAGCGCCATCCACCGGAGGGCTTCTTCTTCTTAGGAGATGGTTGTCGACTGAAAATTAAATATAAAAATTGACTAAAATAGAAATATATTGTTAATTGAAAATTACTGAATGATAATATTAATATAGCAATATAATCATAAGTATTAAAAACAGATTTTCTTTGGTCAGTGAGATCATCTTGGCATTACTGCTACTTTTACATATACACATCACAAATAACACAAAATCAACAACACATGACAACATAATGATGACAATCACAAATGCATGAATCCCATAAATTACAAATAATAAAAGCTTGAATGCAATGAATTCGAGGGGAGTCTAATCACTCACACAAGCACATGTTCTACACAGGGAAACAAACAGATCAAAAGTCATCAATTCTGCTTGTAAAGACCGGAGTTCATATCAAACAATATGAAAATGCCTCTTTTTGATACAGATATATAGGACATCGAATTACTTAGTTTATCTCACCAAAGCCAATTTTTAATATACAATTTACACACGAACTTTCTGTTTTTATTCTAAATCATTTAAAATTGCTAAACATCAAGGTATCTGCACTATGAAAAGAATTTACAATCCGTACAACACAGTTGAATTATGATTGAGTTGAAGAAAATAATGCTAGTTAAAAGATAATTTAGTCCCACTCTTACCGTATTACCCGAACAACTTCATGGAATGCACGATCTACATTTAGTGGAGGATCTTTTGCACTTGTCTCTATGTAAGTTACCTATTTTTAAAAAAGTAATGTCAATCTAAAATTCATATTTCAATAGTTGATTAATTACTGACCAAATTAAATAGATGTATAAGTTGTTACATCAACACCATTAAAGAATTTGAAAATAAAAACTGCTTTTGACGCTCTTATGCTTATTTTTTAAGTTCAAAATAATTATTAAAAAGTAACAATGTTAAAGATTATTGCAATATTATCAATCAAAAGTCTTTGTTACACTTTTATTAGTTTTGACTGGCTATGAACCATTAGAAAAAATGTCATAAATAGGGTTAAATTACACCATTTCTTTTAGCGCTACAAATCTTTAAATGCCCTTAAGATACTATATTATTACCCTAAGGTTAGCAGCCAAATGCAGTCCTTGCTCTTCTGTTACAAGTCTCTGATGAAGGAGGTCTACTTTATTTGCTGCTATTATCATTGGAAATGTATCTCTGCAAAAGGGTCAAAGAATTTTTTTCAAGTTCACTCTAACTTGCATCATACATTTTCGTCAAGAAATTACTTGCCAATATATTAAATTATTTTAGAGAAGCAAAGAAAGATTTACCTGTCCTTTACTCGTAAAATCTGTGTGTGAAAATTACTTATGTTCTCAAAACTCTGTCTGTCAGTGACTGAATACACTAGTAAAAAACCATCGCCTTTCCTCATGTATTGTTCTCTCATTGCACTGAACTCTTCCTGACCAGCTGTGTCCAAAACTGTAATGTTATAATAATACAATTCAATGCCAAGTAATCATATAACAACAAGATATGTTCTAGGTCTTCTCAGTTCAATGAAAATCTAGCACTTTAATAGACACCAACGAGAATACTAATAGTCTTGAAATTATTGGAAAGCGCCATAAAATATTTTAAACATCATGCACAATGTTAATAACGTAAATATGATTACAAAATATGGTTTTTGTAAGACTTTAGTAAAGATTGGATGTATTTGATTTTTTAAATATTTTCTGTTGTTTAATTTTGTCATAATGTAAATAAATATGGCATAACTAGGCCTTGTGTTTTAAATAAGCATAATTTTATTTAAAAAATTAATTAGCAAATTTTTTAATACAAATTATTAAAAAGGAGGGTTTTATAGAAGATTGACGACTGAGTTTTTGTACTCAGTACTGTAAATCAATCAATGCTTGAAATTTTTTTCATGCTGAAGTTTTTTTTATTATTTTTATGATTTTCATCCATGCCAACAGTATGATGGAGGATTTTCATAAAATGGTTGGTCCATTGAACAACATACATTTAATGTATATTGACATTTATTTATATATATGTTACGGTCAAAGCCCGAAGTCGGCCAATGCTAGGATTGGCCGGCCAATCCGCGCATTGGCCAATATCGCCTCCCATAGGTCGGTCAAAGTCCGAAACTTTGCTTGATTTCGGCCTTTGGCCGGCCAATCCGCGGACTGGCCATGGTGGACCGGCCAAAGACGTAATTAGCAGATCATCTGGCTAGAGACGACCGGCCAAAGTCCGAATTAGAAGATCATGAGCAGATTTTGGTTTTTTTTTATGCCGTAAGGATCATGAAATTAAGTCTTTATTGATTATTAATTAAAGTAAATGACAGAAGCATTCAATTTTTTTTTTATTGTACTATAGTCTCAATCTATCAATATTATCATTTGTTACAACAAGTTAAACTTTTATGGCATTTAGAATTACATAGCAGCTTGTTATTTTTACACTTGCAGCGATGTGTTGTGCACTTAGTTGTGCAATTGCAGCGAGTGTAGCCTTGGCCCCAAGTCAATGATTGTGAAGATGCGATGTGATTTTTCCTCAGTGCCAACTGACGACAATAAGAGCAGTTTTTCGTGAAGAATTGAAAACTCACTTCTAGCATACAGTTGTTTTAGAACACCATGTTTCCTTCCTAATTTGTAGAAACCGCCCTCGACGCTCATGACAACTGCAATCACGCTTTGGGGATCACCGCGATCTCTGTCAACATCTGGAACACGGATGCGTACATTGTCACCCACTTCAACATCTTTAAATTTTGTATTTGATGTTTTAAGCATCTTAGCACCTTGAGTTTGCAAGCCAGTATGAGGTGCTGACCTGTGTTCCACGATGTCTTGTTTGTTGTGACACAATCTGCAGGTAATGTTCCCTCGATATCCTTCGTCTGCTTCATTGGGTATTCAACACATAGCATGGACATCGTTGCCACAGGATCCACAAGAATGAGCTGCACTACAATGTTTTTCACAATCTATACAGAATCGGTTGGCCACATTATTATCACGCAACTGGTCTGGACGTTCCGCCACGGCAGCAGATGTGTTAGCTGAGGATGTCGTTGCATTTATGGCAACCTCCATTTCTTGTTCAATGTTCTCAAGATCTTCCTCAGTAACTATTTTATCAAGAGCCTCTCTTGGTAGATTTGAAGTGGTTTCTGACGCCCACGCCATCTCAAGTCGCTTGGACACTATTGTTCAACTTACAAGGAACGCGGCAAAGTCTTTTGAACGTTCCGTCTTGTTGCACGTGATCGGTGACGCCGATTGTCTTTGATTTTGTTCTTTGATGATTGTCTCACCTCGTAGTCATGGAGGAGGCTGTCACATACAGTTGTAGCCCATATATGGAAACTAACATGGATTTACATTTTTTTTCTTTTGACAGCCATCTGCTATGTCGGTCTCATGGTCTGACCGCCCTTTTGATCCATGTCGCCTTGCATATAGAATGCTATACAAACAAGAGCTAAACAATACGTTACTCACAATGAAACCGCACCCAGAATAATGAAAACGCGATCACAACTTAGTCTAGATAGAACATTGGCCAGGACATCCCGGCCAGTGCGCGCATTGGCCGGCCAATCGACAAAATACGCTGTCAAGTTTAACCGCTTCGGACTTTGGCCAGTACGTCCCGGCCAGTGCGCGCATTGGCCGGCCAATGTACGAAATACGATCTTAGTGCTAAGTTTTTCGGGCTTTGGCCAAGAGAGCCGGCCAATGCGCGCTTTGGCCGCACTTCGGGCTTTGACCGTAACATATATATATATTATATATTAAATATAGAGTCTATATTATATATAATAAATCTATAATATAAGCGGGCAAGTAGTGTGTCAGTCCTTCCTTCCTTCCTTCTGTCATCGCTATAGATTTTAGAACCATAAAAGTAAACATCGCACCATGCTGTGCTTTTCAGTGCACCGCAGTGTCTTAATATAAGTAATAGAGTAGGGTTTGTTTATATAACGACATAGAGCTATTTTTATAATTGCCACTGTTTTTTCTTTTTCGCATAACGTAAAGAAAATATTGAATATACGCACATTGCTAAAACATATTAAAAAGATCAATGTCAAATATCATTTTCGTTTATATTCCAAAAAAAAGTGGATACATTTTAATAAGATAATAACAGTACGGTAGAAAAATCAAATAAATTTAACTTTTTTTTCTAATTAATAACAAAGGAGGTAATTAAAAAAAAAATTAAACTCACGCTAATAAAAAATGTGAATGCAAATATACGGTCGTCATAAAAGGAATTAGTGTTGCAATAATATAATTAGCAAAATGTGAATAAAAATTATGCGGATGTGTAAGAGGAAATTATTGTTAGAAAATTATAATTAGCATGGATTGATAAAAGGCAATCTTTTATTTATTTTATTCACTGAATGTACTGTTTATTACTTATAATTTTTAATCAACTATTCCGCACTATTATAGACGCGTCATCACGTTCATTAGGTGCGCAATGGCTTTAGTTATGAAACTCTATTGTAAATTTTTAAAATTTAAAGTACTGGGAAAAAAATGTGTGAATTGATAAAGTGATATATGGTAGGTAAAACACGGATATTTTAAATACTGCCTATTATTTATACTGTTTACTAATTATTATTCTATCTTTCGGTTTGCGGACAAGCTGGGGGTTTTATAGGAGAGACATAGCAGGGGGGGGGGGGGAATATGTCCCCGGGTGCCGACCTTAGGGGGCGCCAAAGTCGGTTGGAAAAAATTTGCGAGGGGGGTGGAAATCGAAAGTTTTAGGACCGGAGGGGGGGGGGGCGCAAATCGAAAGTTTGAGGGGTGCAAATCAAAAGTTTGAGCGGGGGGAATTTCAAATCAAAAGTGGTGCAAGTCTGAGGGGGGGGGTGCAAATTGAAAGTTTGTTCCCGGGCGCTGGAAAGGGTCGCTACGCCTCTGTTTTATAGTCATTCACTGTGTCAGACGCGTCCGCCGGCGCTCGGAAAGGGCGCCATTTGGCGCTACGGGATAGACTGTGAGCAATATGCTTTTATAATTGCATTTAAATTGTGTTTATTTTATGAGTGTTGTGTTTGTTTTTTCGTTTGTGTTTTTTGCGTTCGTTTGTGTTGTGTTTAGTTTTGTTCTGTTCCCAAGTTGGTACATTTAAAAAAGATTTACCGTGGCAGAGCACGGGATGCAGCTAGTATATATATATATATATATATATATATATATATATATATATATATATATATATATATATATATATATATATATATATATATATGTATATATATTTTTTTCTTGGTTACTCACTCACACAATATCAAATCACACTTAATCAAATTAACAAAAATTTCAAATAAATTGTGCACTATTTATACTCACCATCCAAGATACACCATTGACCATCAATTTCAGTATATTGAATATAAGAGTCTTCTATGGTTGGATCATAATCTTGCACAAATAATTTTTGAAAAAATTGAATAGTTAGGGCAGATTTTCCAACACCACCATCTCCCACAACAACTAGTTTGTATGTATGAGCATTTTCTGCATTAACTGGCTTAGAAGATGACATTCTATGTGTATTATGTTTCTGTCTGTAGTGATGTTAAAAAAAAATAGGTTTCTCGCAATATGTTAATAAATCAATCTAAAATCTGGTCTCATCTTGTGTTATGCTTGTAGTTGTAAGCTCAGATGGCCCATCACTGCACCTGATTGTTTAAAAAACAATATTTATATTAGGTCTCAATAACAGTTAATATATTTAACCTTAAAAATAAAGCAAATGGTAATTCAAATATATCAATGTATAGACTAATTTTTTCCCTTACACAATTTGGTCACTAAGCATACTGAACCCTCCCCTTCCCCCTCCCCCCCCCCCCTCCGACATAACCTTAAAATAACATTTATTTAGTAAATAGGCCTTAACTTATTAACAAATCAGGCCTACCACCAACTAATTAATATCTAAACTCAAAATCTTGTAAATTAAAAGCTATCATATCCTATCTATTATATAGTTTGTATTAACTTTTGAGGAATTTCCGGTTTCTCAAAAGCCAGTAACTTTTGAACAGATTTCTGTAATCAGATGTGATATTTGAATTTGACTATATTTTCGTGGGAACACTATACATTAAGTATAGAAGACGAAATTTCTTATGGAAGTATAAGAACTTATAGGCCTACTTTAATAACTTCCAATTTTCAATAACCTCGAACAACCGATAATTTTAGTACAGTTTCTACCGAATAGGCAGACATGCCCACCCCTGTCAACCAAAACTGTAGGAACAGTCATACTTAAAAAGAGGAATCTAAGTCATAAAGAGGAACATGTGTGGATGCTACTTTACTAAGTCAAAAATAACAATACATAATACATAGAGCTAAGTGAAAGTCTAATGACATTATGAGAAATTATAGTATAATCATTATACACTATATAGTATTTAGTGTATAATTTCATTAAATATATACACTGTAGCATACATACAAACATAGGTATAGTCACAGTATAGTGTATGGTAGGCCTTAAGTTAAATAAAGCTAGTCTCTAGGCTACATCTAACTAAATACAGCTTAAAGTTAATGTCAGCTTACTTTTTTTTTTTAAATTAATCAGTAACCTTAGAACCCCCACCACCATTTTAATAAAAGATTAAAAACCATAGCTTTATTTAACTTTTAAGATAACATTATTTGATTGATTTGATTATTCCTGACTTGCTTAGTCCATGACTTCATAAACAAACAAACACTGAAGTCTGAAGGTTTCGTTTGTAGTAGATTTTAAAATTAATAAGACATAGGCCTAGGCCTACATAGTAAATTTAAAATTAAGTTAAAGTCCTAGTTAATAGTTATTTAGTTAAGTTAAGTAGTCACTTAAAATTAAGTTGACTACTAGACTACTTACTACTAAGTTTAGTAAGTATTAGCCTCTACTCATTACTTAGCCTAGTAGTAGACTCTAGTTACTAGTAGTAGTAGTAGGATCTAGACTTTCTAGATCTAGATTCATAAGCCTTAATTAAATTTAAAGTAAAGCCTAAATACTAAATACTAAATGTCAAATGACTTAGGGGCCTAATGAATAAGGTTAATAATATATTTTTTAAATTTAAATTAATAAATAGATAGGCCCTAACACAAAATCATCAATAGATTATATATTCTAATATTGAATTCTAATTTATTGAATATTGATTATTGATTGATGAATACTCAGACCAGATATTGAAATAATTAATACAGAAATAGATCTAGATTCTAGATCTAGATCTACTACACAATGTGACAATACATATTAAAATAATACATAAAGATGATAAAATTAAAATACATTCAATAGTCAATACATTTTTCTACATCCCAGATCTAGAATTCTAATCCTAAGAATAAATTTAAGCACCCACTCAAACTACTTATATATGCCGTAACTTGGGCTAAATAAAGAAAGTCTAAAAATAAACGCACTAAAAAGAAAATAGATCTAGAATCTAGAGTCTATTTTCTAGACTAGATTTTATTTATTATTTACATGTAAAACAAGAGCTAAGCATGTATTTTTATCTTTCTTCCGATACAACCAACCACTAACTGGCCTTAACCTTAAAGTTCGCCCTTTTGCCTGGTTGGCCCAAGTAAGAAAATAAAGAAATTTTCCATAATATTATTAACATTAATAGTTGTTGAACATATTATATTTAAAATTATTATACAGTTATACATAATATGTAGTGTATGTAGTGAATTTGATTGTTTTTAGAACTGTGATAAATAAAATTAAACTTCATTTGAATTTGACGAGCTTAGATCTTGAATTTGTTCTTCGTTTGCTAAACTATTTTACAAAGTATAGCTAGATTAAAATGTAACTTTATTTTAATATCTAAAGTATTGTTAATGCATACATATATATTGTAAAAACTTTCAGCTATGTGTTTGCGGTGCTTAAATAATTGCATTTTGTATTTTGTTTTAATTATACTATCTTTATCAAAAGATTCAATAATTATCAGGCATATGCATAACCGGAAATGTTAGTTAGACAGTCTATTCTGCGTAGTGACAACATAACATTAAATTTTTGGATGAGTGTACTTAGTACTGATGTTTAGAATATAGATTATAGATCCTAGATAGATCAAGATTCTATCTAGATCTAGGTTCAAATCTAGATCCATATGACTGATGATAATCTTTTATAAAAAGTGGTTGTTTTAAGAAAATACTTTACAATAGAGATCGATATCACAAAGATAAATGACAAAAAATTTCAAAAAAATGATTGAGTTTTATTTCACCTTACGTCAATTTTTTAACTCCAGTTCAAAATCATTTGATTATTGTTCTCTGATGACAACATCTAGATGTAGTGCTAGAGAAACCAAATCTAGGTCTAGTTACAGACTCACTCCAAAATCAAAGTTCAACATCATTGCAATAGCATTGTTTTATACTACACTACTCTTGTCAGAAATGTGCGTGCATGTTGAGGCTTCCATGATTGATGAGGCTGCTATAAAAGAAGTCAGATTTAAAAAAGCTGATGTAGATACCCCAATTTTAAAGAATGATTCCCCTAATTTGAGCTCCACCAGTGACACTGCTGGTAACAGTAAACCATCAGTTAGCAATAAGGATGACATAAAGGCGAGTAATCATACTGAGAATGAAACAAAAAATAATACTTCTCACAATGAGGAAAATAGTGAAGCCACATCCATATTTACTCAAATGAAAGATAACAAGGACATGCTAATGAGGACAATGTATGTTACATTAGGAGTAACTGGAATAGTTGTGGTGTATTTTATCATCAGAGCCGTCAGGTAAAAGTAAAAAGAAATTTTACTGGCCTAATATAAATTTAAATAACAAGCAATTGGGCGGAACACGCTTGTCCTCAAAATACTCAGTCGAATGTGAAAACTAAAGATAGATAGCCTACTGTTCCATAATGCATGATAAATTGACAACATTAAAAAAATATTTTCAAAGTTTGTTAGAATACAAAAATTATCAGAAAAATCTAAAATTATATTTGTATGTAAAAAATGAAAACAGAAACAAGTGAAAACAAAATTTGAAAATGTGTGTTATAACCCAAGGCTTCACATGCACATAACTTTATTCAAAAATTAAGCAGGTATCGTGTTCCCTCAAATAATACCTATTTTTATATAGCATTTCACACAATTCAGAAATGCCTTGCTTGTCTACACTTTCTGCATAGTGAATGCATATAAGTAATAGGCTATATTTACAGTAATTTACTACTATACACAGAAAATACCCTAGGTTTAATTAGCCTAAATTACAGTGCAATTTAGGGTTTTTTTAAAACCTGTGTTGCATCAGACTTTTATACTTACCTTTTAGCTCTTAACTAAGAACAGCTTTTAAGGAGATAGCTATTAAAAGAAAAGTTATTTATGTGGCATACAGTTTAGTTGATTAGACATGATTTTAGACTTTATGTGAAGCAAATAAATAGCTTTTTTTTTTTAATGGATATTTTTAGCCCATCCCTTTTTCCAAAGTCAAAAAGTTTTGCTACTTTAATTAATAATTGATGTTGTTTTGCAGTAATTTCTTGAACTTGAAAATAGTTTTTGTATATGTGTCCTTATAGGCACATCCATTACTTTCCTTATATCTATTTTAAATCTTAAATTTTTGTTCTTATGTATTGGTCAGATTGAGGAGAAAAAGAACCAAGTCTAGAAAGTATGGTATCATCACTCAGCAAGGTGATCATGGAGATATGGAAATGGAACCATTGGGTGCAGGGGATGATGAAGAAGAAGACTATACCGTATTTGAAGTCAACGGTCACAAAAAGTAATCATGCACTTTACATTCTTGTTAATAGTTAAAGTATTTTTGGCATTGATAAATATTCTATTTTTACTGTCTATTATCATGTTATTTTTTTTTTAATTTCTTTTCAGGTAATCTCAGTGTTTTCATCTACAATCCAGGGTTATTTTACTATTTTGCTTTATTTATAATTTGATAATGAATGTGGGAACAATGTATAGTCAACTTGTATTTGGCAAGCTAATAAGACAAGTAACACTTTTTTTGTGATACCTGTAAAGAGGTCATATTGTGTTTGAGTTGATTTTAAAACATTTTGTTGAGAGTTTGTTATTCTGCTACATTCATTTTAAAAATGTTCTTTTAAATTTACATGAATTTCATGAGTCTGGAATTTTTTCCCCATCTTATGACTCAGAATGTGACACTCGAAAGTGTAGAAAAATTTTAAAATTTTTAAAGTGAACTATTTATTTTTTTATTTTTTTTTTCATTAACTAATAACCTATTTGCTACCCAACACCCATTCCAGAAACATCATCCAAATACTAAACTAAATAGAAACAACACACAACTTTTGGTTATATTCTTCTGATTAAATTTATCAGAATAACTATTTTTAAAAACATATTTTGATTAAAAGCATTTAAAATTCAATTATTATAATAATTGTATAGCAGTATTCATTAGTTAAGGCTAATTTTTAAAATATACTGTATAGGATTTTTTTTTTCCATTTATTAAATCATTGATTTTGAATGTTTGTTGTTAGTGGGACCATGTGTTCAAATTCAAATGTATGACAGTTGACATCTTATATGTTCCAATTTGTAAAATAATGGCATATGCTGTGAACTTAAATGTGGCAATGCGTACGATTGAAAACCCGAAAGTCTTGTGTTTTGAACCTGAACTTGAGTTCGCTCAGCTCTAAGGGGTAGATAGTAAATAAAGATAAGCTTTGTTTACTTATAAGTAAGATTTCTTTGTTGTTTTTTTAACATAATTTATATTGGAACTTCTTTCTGAAATTTTGTTTTACCATAATTCATTCAACTGGTTGAATTAGTTTTAAACTGATTGTGTTCTGTAGGCTTGTTTTTTTTTAAGTTAAAGGTGGATGTGTTGATTATAAAAATACTTTTGTTAAAATCTACATATTCATTCTTTTTAAAATTAAATATCAGACCTACATGATGTCACTTTATTCACTTGAACTTTAATCAACAATTATGTCTGGTCTTTAAGTAATGATTCTATAAAAGTGCCTTTATTGATGTTTCTTGTATACAGTAATAAATAATTATCAAGGATTATATCTATATATTTATCAATTTATTCTTCATTTTTGTCAGTTTTTTCTTTTATCTTTACATTCCTATCTTGTGCTGTGCAATATTTGTAAAAACGTCATTATAACTTATAATCAACAATGTCATTTACTAAACAATGCCATCTCCTTGCATAAATACCAGCTTTATTTTTTTAAACATTCAGTAAATATAGTTCCTGCTTTGTGTAATGACTAACTTGATATTTTTCCCCAAGCACACTGTATGGGACCAAACATTTTGGGTGCTAGTTAGGTCACCTTGTTGCAACACAGTTTTAGTCTTAGCCTCTATATTTTCTTAGACTCTTGAGTAGGCTTTTTTTTTTGTCAGATAAAATTGGGAACAATGTAATGTGTCTCAGGTGTTTTGACAGCTCTTTTAAATATGGTTGGTGACACAAATTTGGGGTAGGTTTTTTTTTTCTGAATCTCAAATACAAAATGATACAGGCAATTCCTAGGGTAATTAGTGAAAGGAATTTTTTTTAGTTTTAGTTTAAAAGTTAGGTTATGGTTAGAGGATTTTAATGGAACACTGTTGATACACAAAATAATTACAATGGTAATTATATAATAATCAAATAGAAATTATATAAACACAGTGTCATACACATTTTGTTGAACATGTTTATAAAAGTATTATTAATCTAACATTTTACCTATAGCAGTAAAGATTTTACTGTTGTTTTGTCCTCTTTTTTCAATTATAAATTGATTTTACAGATCATTATGCTTATATCTTCTAAGTTACTGTTCAGATTTAAACAGTATTTAAATATTTGGGAGTTTTTGCTTGGTAACTTTTCCTACACACATTTATTATTCCTTTTTTCTTAATTACCACCTAAATCCTGATTAATTAATGTGAAGAATTCAAAATAACAATGTGTTTGTAATCGTGTTTGACTGGTATAAATAGATTATAGTTTATAGTTTCAGCAAAAAAAAAATTGAGTTGTCGCTTCATCTTGGAAACGAACATTAAAATGCATCAAATACGTCTTAAAACCATTTTTTTTAATAGTCAAAATGAAAGTTTATTTGGTTGATGTATAAGGTATGGTCTGATCCTGTAGCCGTAAACACTTGTATTTTAAGAGTCTGTGCAAATATATATGTATTTACTTGTGAACCCTTTAAAAATAAATAAAAAGTTTTCTCCTCCTACAAATGTTATTTCTAGTTTTTTAGTTCAAATAGTTTACATTTATAACCTTGTTATAACACTGCTTTTATTTAATTGTATTTAATTTTCACAAACTGTCTACTACCTTCATTTATAGTGGCTTGATAAATGAGATGATGCTTAACACAAAATTCAACTGTTTTGTCTTCTCAACTGTCTGGAATAAAGATGTAACACTATTTTTAGCGCAATTTCCATTCTGGAGAATTGCGTTTATTAACTCGTCATTTCTGGGAATGGATGGATGGATGGATGAATGTGTGTCCGGGCTTTAAGTCGTATCTCCTCCTCAACGAAGCAATATCGATGAATAGTTCCAAAAGCAATTATGTTAAGCAAGTTACGAGAATGAGCATAGGCCATAAAAATTCCGGGTTTCTTTCATGTATTTCCCGGAAAAGCCAAAAAACCTCGAAAAAATGCAGTTTTTGGCCCATATCTCGGCAACCAGACCACTTAGCGACTTGAAACATGTACCAATCGATTCCTGTCATAATTTAGAACAATATTGCCGAAGAAAGTTTTCAAAAATATTCTCTCGTTCGGTCACAAATTTTAAAATTACATAAACACCTACAAACCGATTGTTCTTCTAGCTTGAACGCACCCCAACATTATACGTCAGAGCTATTTTTAGATAACATAAGGAAATTGCGCACAAATGTCACTAGACTTTTTTAATTAACTTGTTTATTAAAATTGTCTAATCCCCCATATTTTTTAAAACCGCACTATTTATTTTTGTGTCATGGTTCAGAATTGTAGGAGTCCTAAAAAGTTCTGGTGGTCTATGAGTCGGAGATGTTATGTAGGGGGTAAAAACTACATTTAACAGATGTGTGTGCTTTTTCCATGTTACTATTTCCCTTCCTTCATACTCTGTGACGCAAAATGTATGCATTGAAAAATTTTAAGCCGGACAGCCAGTCCACCTTACAAGTGTACCCGACGCACGCTGCTGTAATGTCAGTAGAAAGGAAATTCAAAGTTATAAGACCTTTTGTGAGAGTTTCATCAACGTGTGCCAGTCGGTATTTTAGATGTGTGACCTTGTTTTCTAGAACGGAGTATTTGAATGTAAGCCTGTGGTCCTTAACCTGGATTCGGTGAGTCAATCTCAGGTGTTCAGCGGAGGACAAGACACACCTGACTCCAACGATTTACGATCGGCATTAGTCAGTACGTACGATAGAACTATTGAGAAGGGATCAGGGAATGCGCATATGAAACTGGTGGTGTTCTTACCTCCAAAAAGGTTAAGAACCACTGATGTAAACGGTGCGCCGGAGGTTCGATTTAGTCATCAAATTCAATTGTAGTAGCCAACCGCATTCATAGTGTAGGACGCTCTTTGGCGGAGCTGGGCGCACAGGGTCACTTGACCGTTGAATCAAGTAGTACCTCTGACCAACTGTGCACGACGCCCAATTAACAGACAGCAAGTGCTAAAATAGCCGCTGGGTAACTTCATGCTAAATCGCATCCTGTCGCCACTCCGATATTTTAATTACATTTTTTTCATGGCGACTACCTCTTCTGGGGTCTGCTCAACAACTTCCCGGTAATATTCTATTCATTGGAAAACAGCGAAATACTCAGTAAGAATACACTTTTACACTGAATTAGGTAAGTCTATGTTAAGAAAGGACTGGTTGGGAGTTCTTGTGTGAAGAAAGGATGGAATAGGTTTGGGAGAGTGGTTTATGAGGCGTTAAAAAAAATGTAAAGTTAACCTTTCAGACCTAACGATTCATGGGGCTGAAGAAGTAATAGCTAACATTTTTCTTGACCTCGGCATGTGAAGAGGTGGTGTGCTCTGGTCTAACAGCTGGGTTAACTCAATGACGTCCTACAGGGAGATCTGAACGTAACACATTACGCTTAGGAGTCGAGCGCTTCGTAGTTTTCTATGCGCGTGCACTTTTTGCGTTAGTGTTGGGGCCTTAGTGTTATCTGGACCGGACCAGTCATCCGGTGCACAGAGTTTCTTCCAGGCATATCTTCAGGTGCCCCCCCACCCCCCACCCCACCCCGAAGAAAGTCTACCGCTTCCCCCCCCCCCTCCCCCCGAACGAAATGGAATTTATATAGAAAATATATACTTTTGACAGTGACCTCCCCCCGGAAATTGTTGTCCTTCCCCCCCCCCCCCCCGAAAATTTCAAGTGCACCCACGGAGAAAAAAGTCTGGAAGAAACACTGCCGGTGCAGTAACTGATGTTCTCACTACACCCCTTCCAAACAGTTTTGCATTTCCGATTCGGTGTCACCGCTCTCTTCCTATTTTGTTATCTTAACAGGATTTTTCGTCGTGGTGTCACCCCTAAATGGTGTCACCGGTACGGACTGCACCCCCTCACCCCCGGCTTGTGACGCCACTGCTGTTTACCGTAACCTGGAATCTGCTGGAAAGACTAACGCAATAAAAGTGATTTTGAATATAGCTTATAATTTGTTGAAACGTAGGCCTCTATACCTTAATGAAATATCAATTTTATCGATTTTTTTTTGGTAGGAGGTCGTGCACATTATAAGGCTGTAACCAGAGTTTCTTCCAGGCATCTCTTCGGGGGGGGGGGGGGGCTTGCCGAACGAAATGAAATTTATATAATTTATATAGAAAATATATACTTTTAACAGTGTCCCCCCCCCCCGAAGAAAGCTACCGCCCCCCGAAATTTTCAAGTGCCCCCCCCCCCGGAGAAAAAAGTCTGGAAGAAACACTGGCTGTAACCAGTGTTCATTTCAGACTTTCTTCCAGGAAGGGTGGGGAGGGGGGGACGTCGACACTCAACTGATCAAAGTATATATTTTCTATATAAATACTTTAAGGGGCGGTTACACTTATCATTTTGCAAGATTGTTTCCAACACTATCTTTGATTTTTACTTATTTATATTTTTGATAAAGTATGTTATACTGTTATTTTCATTTAGAATAGTTGGGGAAATGGTGACACGGCTAAGTGCTAGCTTAAACATTTTTTGACACAATATATAAGGATTTTTTACAATGAATAATAATGGCAGCAACTAAGCTATTGGTTAACAAGTAATGAGATTTTCATTATTTAAAAGAAAAAACTTAGCATATTGTATCGGGTTGAATAATAATGGCAACAACTAAGCTATTGGTTAACAAGTAATGAGATTTTCATTATTTTAAAAAAAAAACAAAAAAAAAAACTTAGCATATTGTATCGGGTTTGTGAGAGTAGTAACTCCAAAAGTGTTATCACAACCTTTTTAAAAATGAATCATTAGGTCTTCTACTTTATTTAACTTATAACACACAGGACGTCACAGTAGAAGATGATTGAAAAGAGCAAATTCTTCATAAGTGCACAAGTTTATTAGCTCAAGTCACACAAAGATACAATTTCCACGACACATGTGAAGGCTGCTTTCAATACGACTACCAAGACGAGATTCTTTCTCGAACATTATTGCTTCATTCTGGAGGAAAACTCTTTCTAACACCACCTAAATCTAGATCGAATTAGTAATTACTGACAACGACATCATTGCACAAAACGTCAACACTATTCATAATACGCTGTTGTTCTTCAAATAGCTTAAAAATAAATGTACAACCTTTATTCGTATGTTATCAAAAATATATCGTTGCGCAAATACTTTCATTCTCAAGTAAACACGAGTAGGCTTCTTTCACTTTATAGCATGGCTGTGTATCAAATAATGTCCTTAATTGTGTAGGCATAAAGTGGTCGTCCTTATAAGCCACAACGTCGACTTGGTTAAGCCACTTCCAGAGAGAGAAGAGGTCGACTTTTGTGACGAATAGAAACAGGTATTTAGAAAGATTGACATTTTTTCAAAATGTACATTTTAACATTACTTTTTTTGCAGTCATTTTGCTTGTTTTGAAGACAATTTTTGTAAATTATTAATTAAAAAAATTAATCAATGTATGGAACCTTGCACTTGATTAGTTTTAGTGTTCTTAGGTGGTGTGATGTTCAGTATTCTGACATTTTTTGTGGCAATGTGGGGTGGGGTCAAAATCGGGGCAGATGTCGTCGAAGAGTGTGAAGTCATTCAGTTAATTGTATTTCATAAGCCAGTGTTTCTTTTAAACATCTCCCCCCCCCGCAGGGGGGTGGACATATATTTGCACGGAAAAGCTGGCTACAAGCACTATTGCAAACAGCGACAGTTTAGCGAAGCCTTCAAAAATCGATTTAGGATCTAGATTCTTTTCCAAGTTACATTAGAATAAAAATCTTCCTTTATACTTTATATTCAGTTGGGCTTAGATCTAGATCTAGCTCTTTAGTGGGGCGTTCGTGGTGTTGCGCAGTGAATTAAAATAGACATCGACCTTCCTGTTTTTATGAAACTAACAATACAAATACTCAGTTAAATTTGGACCATTAACTGTACTTAACTATACTTTATTTTTAAATTATATAAACATATTTTAATATAGTTTATAGTACTAAGCTTTCAGCTAGTAATGCTAATTTGTTTAAGATCTAGATCTAATAATTTCACATCATTCCACATTTTGGGTTGCGTGAAGTCTGTAGCCCACTTAAAGTCAACTTCCGCTGCCTAGCTGAACTGAGAAGTAAAGTCAAGTTTTGACCCGACCAATAAAATAATTACAAGTTTACCATATTTTCATATAATCAGTGTCAGTTGAAATGGCTAGTGATAAAGAGGTAAACATCTTTTATTAAAAGAGAACTTATCTTTCTTTATGAGTTGATTACTTGAACTGGAACTTAAGATCTGTTTGGAGGCAGAGCGAGGTCCAGGTCTAGTCTGGCCTCTGATCTGAATCAGACGCTTTGTGGTTTTCTTTCATTGCTTTTCACTTTCTCGCAAAATTGTAATTAGACTTAGCCGGCTTCACTGAACAGTACTGTCAGTACTTTACAGTTTACTTCAGTAATTCTTGATTTGTGCATGGAACATAATTATTATTGGTAATCTCTCGGGCAGATGAGGCTCGTTAGCTGGGGACAGCCACTCTTCTAGGAGAGACAACTCCAAAATTAAACAACTGCTGCCTTGTAGTATGTTCTTGGTTGGACAAAGGCTATGGAAGCAAATCCAAAAAGAAAAGCAGGCTGAAGGAGTCAATGGCCTCAATGGCGCATAACCAGTTGACACGTAACGCTTAATTGTGTTGGAGGCGTGGTCGAGTCGGCAAAAAGCTCATGATTGATAAATTCGAACAAAGTCTCGAGTTCAAACCCACTGGCAGATAAATCTCGATCCCCTTCAACACTAATAATTAAGAACGAAGAAGAAGAAGATTGGTAATCTATCGTTTTAGGTACGTAAAATCGCCAGCGGCTAATGATGTACGAAAAAGTTACCTCATTGTCAAGGCTTCAATAGAAGTATTTTGTGATATATTTGTGTCAAATATTATAGATAAATGAATAATAAACCTAAATCAATGGCTAAATATATCAATATAGGCAAGAAATTAACTTTAAACAGCAGTGTTCTCGAGCAGGATTTGCTATATAAAAAGTTTACAATACAAAATAATAAACAAGATGGCTGCTATAGTAAATGAGCATGGTTGCATCTGTTGGAAACATCGCAAGTCTTCATTTATTACTGAAATTTTTAAATTCAGTTGTTTAAAAACAGGTACATATATGAAACAAGGAAACATTTTTGTATTTTTCAAAACATAAATCCTCCTCAAAATGTGAAATAATTAGGCCTATTAAAATTTAAGGAGTCACCTGTTTTTCACATTACTAGTCGTGGGCGATTTTACGTACCTAAAACGATAGATTACCTTATTATTACATATTGGGCCTAAGACTACTAAGACTATCTGCATTATTTTATTAATTTAGTAGGCCGTTCGATTCAACACTTCCGCAGAGGCGTAGCAAAGGGGGGCAGGGGGGTACATATGTCCCCCGGCGCCGATCTTAGGGGGCGCCAAAATGGGTTGAAAAAACAAATTAAAATCTCATTTTAGCTGCATTTTTGCTTTATAAATATAAAATATATATAAGGGGGTGTGCAAATCGAATGTTCGGGGGGGGTGCAAATCGAAAGTTTGAGGGGAGTGCAAATCAAAAATTGAAAGGTTGCTCCCGAGGGGGGCGCCAAATTGAAAGTTTGTCCCCGGGCGCCGGGATGTGTCGCTACGCCTCTGCACTTCCGGGTTTGTCATTTTCATGGCATCTCACGGCTCATTCGCTTACTAAAATGGCGACCAGTTTCGCTTTCTCTAAACGGTAGAGGGATAAAACTATTGATTACGATGCCATCGTTAATTTTAGAAAACGGAACTATCCGTTTCTATTTCAGTCTGTTATTTAAGAATTCCCAGATGTACTTTTGACCTAATTTCTTTGTTTGTCTCGCAAGCGGCGCGCAAGTGATAATAGCTCTATGTATTCTTGTCTTTTAAATCAAATAACTCTGAAATATCGCTTTCCTTAAAAACCAGCCTATGTTCCTTGAAAACTTTAAACTATTAATTTAACACACATTACAATTAACTGGTAATAATTTCTTGGGTTTATGAGATATGTTTGTGGGAAAACGATCACTCCCCAATAATGTAATTTTATTATAATCTTGTTTGGTGAAAACGAGGCGCAGGAAAATGTGTGCCGCGCAAGAATCCAATCATACACCCCCTCTAGAAAACACGTGTTTATTAAGCTGTTTATCTCACTTTACAACAGTAATTAAAATTAATTTTCAAATTTTTATCACTTATTGGGTAAGATTAAGCACATGTTTGGATTTTTTTTCAGTAATAATGACTTTGCACAGAAAGTTAAAATATGCTAACTTAGCTTAGTTTACTAGTGTTCTAGCTATTATTGATACATTTTTAATAAAAAAAATCATTCTGTAATTCTCATCAAAAAGCCTAAATTTAGTCTTAGAAATTGCTAAATCTAATATTTAGGTAACTCAATTTTCAATTTAAACATGATCACTGAATTAGTTCGCTAGCCTGGAGGACGTCACATGAAACAAATAGAAAAATATCATAAAGAAACAATGTTAGGCCTAATAAAAAGTTAAACTATGGAAAATACACAACACTAATCAGTTCACTAATGACTAATTTTAGATTTTCTTACTAAATCTAAAATTTAGGCCACTCAATTTTCAAGTTAAACATGACCACTGAATGATAGACATCCATATTTAATCCATTAGGCACTAATTTTGAAGTTTTTAATTAGTTTTAAACTAAATTAGGCCTAAGGGCCTACTTAATTTAATATTTATTGTTACTCACTGCCATGCACAATGTGCCTCTCCATGACAACACTTGTTATATCACTCTTACGTTTGAAGCAAAGGCAAACCATGCAACCGGTTTGACTTTTTAATTGGCTATGCACCAGAGTTCCTCACTAGTGATAACCAAATAGCGGTCACATGGTTTAAAAACATAAATTTGGTTGTCATTTTTTTTCATAGACTGATAAACCTAATAGTTCTACAGACTCCAATTCATTTTTGTACTCCCTGGGTTGATATTTAAAAAGTTCTATGATTTTTAATGACACCAACTTTTAAATTAGCCTTCATTCTCCAAAGCAAATTTTAAAATACTTTTCTCGCATATTTAGCCCTGCCACCTATTGCTTGTTTTTATAACGTGAAAACCGGATTTTTCGCTCGTGGTAAACATTTTTTAAAAGTAATTCTAAGAAGGTCTCTGGAACTTAACTAAGGCAAAAAAACGTCGAAAGTCATGTATTGGGTCTGTTTGCTATATTGTTTTCCATGACGCATTGTATGCATTTTTATTCCATATAAAAGCTAACAAATAGTAAAAATAACTTTTTTGTTAGGCCTATTCATTTGTTATTTACAGCATTCATCTCTTTATTTAAAAAAATAATTCGGTTAGAGTGATCTAATTACAGGGTTCCTGCGGCCTCCTGAAATTCCAGGATGTCCTGGAATTCTCCTGGAATTTCAAAAAACCAGAAAAGTCCTGGAATTCTCCTGGAATTTTAACATTTCTCCTGGAATTTTACCATTTCTCCTGGAATTTTACTCGCATCGATAATTTTAGCGAATATTTTTTTCCTGCGTTAGATTTCTAGGTAATCAGATCTGACTGCCCAAGTAAAAATGTTCTGCCTTTTCAATTCTTCGCGTTACAAGGCACACATTTTAAAATATAGACTCAAAGCTGTCTTTAACATGTGGGTTTGGTTTAATTTTTTTTCTCACGTCTTTCTATGTGTGCGGCTCTGTTTAATAGGCCTGACTTTTTTAAAATTGGAAATTTCGAGTAGGCCTAGGCCAAAATCTAGTTTTGCGCAGCTAATTTGAATCTACAGTCCGATAGGCTCTAGATTTACTTTCTATTTTTACATGCGAGTTGTAATACTACCACCCTCCCATCCCGCATCTCAGTTTCTTTCCCACGACAGGGTGGTGGAGGGAGGACCGCTGGTTGGGTATATGAAGTGAACCCTGTGTAACCCGCTAGTGATGTCATCAGCAGTATACTACAGGCCAACTGTAAGCTTAGATGAACTCAAACTGACCCAGCGCGACGGTGTCTAGCTGGAGGAAAAAAATACGCTACTGGCAATTAAAAAAAAACAACTATCTGAAATTCTATTTTTGGCTGAAATATTTTTAATTTTTCAAGTATTAGGGGTCGTCCATAAATGACATCACACTCGTAGGGGGGGGGGGGGCACATAATTTTGTGACGGTGTGTGATGCGGGGGGGGGGGTAAAATCGTCAAAAAAGCGCGACGTTATTTCCAAAATACAGTTTATTTTTAGTAGGACAAATCTAAGCTACTCAGGTTGGTCTACTTGTTCATTAAATGATAACAAGTTAAAATTACAGTTAGGCTATTAACTGTTAAAGACTTCCATTAAATCACAATGCCATTTCCATTTTTAAAAGACAAGACATAGTTGCAGCTGTTCTGTTTGTTTATAATTGACATTGTTAGTACCGTTGATGACATTGGTGAGGGGTTAAGTCACTTGACACTGGGATGTAGCTATGATTGCTAGGCTCAATATGTTTCTCAGTAGCAAACATCTGAATTAATTTATAATTATTTTACTAAGTGAATTTACTCACACTATTTCAGTAATCATTGAATTGAAAACAAAAGTGCAAACATATAATTGATTAACATTTTAAATTAGTTTATTGCTGAAATTGTTTTCTAATATTTTTTAAGTTGTGAAATTTTACTCTTTTTTTTTGGGGGGGGGGGGGGGGATAATAAAGAAGAACTGTTATTTAGTTGTTTAAGAAGTGTCACATTTATATATTTCACTACTCATTGGCATAAGCGGGGGGGGGGGGGGGGGGGGCTGATGAAAAGGGATAAAAATTTTGTTTACAAAAAGCTCATTTTATGCTGAGGTATTGAATCATACACATTCAAAGTTAAGAAAATAAACTGCTACAAGACTACACACTGATTCAAATTTTCTCTACCTCAATTGTGTAGTACAAAGATAAAAATTGTTACAGGATAGTGACTGGTAAAAAGTGCCACCACATTTTCCAAAGGGGGGGGGGAGAGGAGATAGCAATTTTATGAATAACAATTTATAAATGGGAGGGGTGGGGTGCAAAATTGAATCTACTTTAACTAAACTAAATGGTTTAGAAACAGTTACTTTTAAAAATTACAAATGCTATGCTACATAGCATTTTATAAAGACCACTTCCTAATTAAGGAATGTCAAATTCCCTTCCATTCAGCGCGGGGTTAAGTCGTTGTTGCTTTTTAATAGGTTAAATTATGTCCTGGAATTTTGGTTTTTCTCCTGGAAAACTCCTGGAATTCTCCTGGAATTTCAAGTTCACTTTTGTGTAGGAACCCTGTAATTATAAAAAGTATTATTGCCTAGGTATTTTAGAAGTACATCTTCAAACAAGGTCATGATTTGCATACTTTGCGTCCGTCGGAGTTGCATAAAATATTGTTAAAAAACAAATTCCTCAAATATATTGCCTATTAAGTTTCAAAAGACAAAGCTCTGTCTATTAATAGCAACAAAATAACCTGATGATGTCTGGTTAAGAAGACTATGAATGGCAAAGATTGAATATGCCTTTTGCTGTCAAAATCTTGTTTTCTGCCATAAATCTTTAAAAATTTATTTATCTGATCACTAATTTTTGCAGAGTGAGTTTTAGAAAATATATTTTAAACAAATTATGTAAGTTGTACATTATTGCCCTGAGATGGCAACCCAGTACATTCAAAATTGAAACGGCTTTTCTGTTTTTAGGAGAAACAATTCCTCAAAGAAGTACTTGTCTTAATTTTGGACTCAAGTAGTTCTGACATTTATAGTACTGCATTAAAAAAATCCTCAGATTGAACTAGACCAGCTTGTGTTTTCATTAATCGTAGTTTAGACCTGAAATAAATGAACTGGAATCCCATACTCAAGTTTTCAATTTTAAGTGTTGGTGTGTGAAAAACAGAGATGCTATGAGATTAGAAATCGCAAACATACATTAATAATATTAACAATGACACATAAAAACAAAACCATAAATTAATAATATCCTTTTAAATTGTGTTGAAAAAAACAAATTTGCTCTATCAAATGATGTATTGATGAATGCAATGTGACTTGTTGTACTGCTCCGTAACTACCTTTAAAGGAAAATCGTCAAACTATCCAACCCAAAATTTTTACTAAAGCAGCCTGCTGCAGGGGCTGTACATTGTGAATGTCTAATTATGATTCTACTTTCAAAAATAGCAATAAGTACATTTTTCTTTTAACAATATTTTTCACAGACATCACCCAGCAGATCAAGGCAAATGGATGACAGAAAGAAGCATAGAAAATTAAGTTCTCGTGATCAGAGGTAACAAAATGTCAATAATATGCTGTTTAAAGTAGAAGTCATGTTTTAATTACATTTCTAAAAAAAATTTACCATAAAAATAAACGGTATATGCCATTGACTAATACTTGCTACAGTTAAATCATTGTTAATACTGTAACTGAGCTATAAAAGATGGCCCCAGAAGTGAAAACTTGTTTTAGTCATTTTATATTGCTCCCAAAGGATAGCCAGTTTACATTATTTAAAAATAATTATTCTCTTTAATTTTATTCAAAGCAAATTCAAATTAATATTTCTAAGTCCAAATTTGACTTTTTAAAATTTTTAAACTAAATTTTTACTTTAAATGGCCCTTTTAAATGTAATTATTAAAAATGTCACAGTCATATGAGTGTTTCATTTAATTCATTTTCATAGTCCTCGTCACAAAGGAAAGCGTAGAAGCTCAAGCAGCTCTCACAGAAGTCCATTGTCATCTAGATCTGCAAGTCCTTCAGAAAAACATAGGATGAAAAAGAAGTAGATCCTTTTTTTTTTTTTTTGAATCATCTTTTTGTCTTTATTTTATTTTTAAAATGAAGAAACTTACAATATATAATTATATATTAATTGAATTTGCAGTCCACCTCATTGCTGTTTTAATCATTACTTCTTTGTATCAACTGTAGTGTAATTAAGAAATTTTATTTTATATTTTAAGTGAGAAGACTAGCAGAGGGCGAGATGATAGATCAAGGAGCCGCACTCCTACTGCATATCGCAAAGATGGTGGCGATAGCAGAGTAAGATATTTGTTACACAAGTGATGGTTTGGAAGTGATTAGAACATTCCATTCTTTCTCCTGATATTTTCATCAAGTTTAATTCCATGAAGAATATTTATATTTTGTAATTTTCTATAGGATGACCCTAATGTTTGCCACTGTCTTGGAGTTTTTGGACTCAGCAGCTATACACAAGAAAAGGATCTGAGAGAAGTGTTTGGAAAATATGGACCTATTGATGACATTTGTATTATTTATGATCGTCAAGTAAGATGTTGGTTTGATACTGTGTATAAAATTCTTGCTTTACTTAAAAACTTTGAAACATTAAATTTAAAAGCATTTAAATTAATAAAACCATAAGTGAGCCTTTGTCAGTGGATTTTAATATTTCAACCTGTGCACTACTCAAAATAATTTTTACAGGTAACACATCATTTAAATTGCTATTTTATTTATTTACAGAGTGGACATTCTAAAGGATATGGATTTGTTTACTTCAAATCAACATCTGATGCTGTTGAGGTTTGTTTAAGAAGTTTATGGCAGAATTTTTAATCTTCTCTGGGTTGCTTCTGTATTGCAATAAGTGATAATTTTTACTCTATTAATGACCTGAAATACTTTAAATTGAATCATTGGGTGACTTTTTAATGAGATGAACATTTTATTTTAGGCACGCCGAGAGACTCAAGGATTAGTCCTGGATCGACGACCTATTAGAGTTGATTATTCATTCACAACCCGGCCACATTCACCAACTCCTGGCAGATACATGGGTAGAAGGTGCGCATTCTTTTTAAAATTTTCTGTAATGATCATAGCTACTTTTTTATCCTGTTTTTTTTTTTCTGTTTGTAGGCTGTGCAGAAAAAAAAATCTATTATTTTTTCCAACAAAAAAAAAAGATAACTTTATTAGAAAGTATATTTTATGAACTATGCAGACACATGCACAGCACTCATGAATATACTACTACAGATCAATTTTTCCTTATTCTTTTGTTATCCACATCTCCCTCTCTGTAACCTTAACTATATATTTTAAAACTTTTTTTTATAATAATGTACGTTATCTAAATTGACTAACACAATATATTTGCTTCTTTTGAAAGCTGGATATTTCCAGTTTAAGAATATTGCATCTTCTGTTCACTATGGTCCATACTGGAACATTATATTTGCCTGCTTTTCAGGTTTATTATTTTACCTTTTTTAATCATTTATGCTTTCTACCCTTCACTTGAGGACCAGCAGGGATCTGGACAAATATTACAGCCATGATAATGGTGACTATGAAGATCGTCCAAGCTACCGTGACAGTGGTCGCAGAGGGAGTTATCGCGACAGGCAGCACTATTGTGACTATGACAGAGATGAATACCGTGATGAGTATGAGGAAAGCTACTCATCCAGGCGATCATCCAGACGATATTCTCCATATTCACGTAAGTAAAGTAAGTCGATATCATCTGTTGATATATTATTAAAATAGACTTTTGTTAAGTCCATACTGATGTCCTTGCATGTTTTTCTTACAAGTACTGTTGCTAATGAATGGGTGAAGATGGACTTATTTCCATGCAACCAGCTATTACAGCATTCGTTTCCACAAAATATTTTTTTTTGCACTTAAAATACAAGTTCATTTTTTCTATAATTAGAGCAATGTTGTATGTCCCCTGTCATATTCCTGTATTGCATATAATTTATACCAACAAACCTCAAATACCCACTGAAACTTGCACACAGTTCTTAATATGTATTATATAACAAAACTACATTAACTGTCTGTGCCTTATTTATTTAATCTGCCATTGTCTGGTCACATGACTCATCAAAACTGTCAATAAGCATTACAATGCCTTAACAAACAAACTTATTATATTATCTTTTTCTAAATAAAATACAATTTGTCATAGTTATCGTTTTATCTTTTAGGAGCTCAGTATTGCAAATTATTCATATTTTGGAATCTTCAAGTTGAATAGCAATATACCAAGATTTATCTGTCATTTTCAAAACAAAACACTTTTTTACCATAAAATTACATTAAATGACTTAACTTAAAGCTTGCTTTTTATTTGTTTATCTAAGTATCTGCAATTAACCTGAAGAAACAATAGTTAACTCATTTTAAGATGAAAATAAAAGAAGCAAATATTTTAAATATTAAAAATCAAAAAGATTTAAAATGTTGATTATTTTTTTTAATTAGTATTAGTTTTCCATCTTAACAAAAAATATTGAGAGTTCAAAAACAAACAAAAACATCTCTAAGCTGCACTCATTTGCTTTTATAATTTTTAACTCATCTTAATTTTTTGTTGTTCTTCATGTGTAAACTACAAAAATTATAAAATGAATTTTACTTCCTTAAAAATTCAATATAGCATACTTTGCAATGATGAAGATAATAAGTTTTTAAAAAATGAAATTAAAAACTTAAATATCTCAGTGATATAGATTATGCATCCGTTTTTACAGGTCGCCACTAATCCCCTGGTACAGACAAACAACAGAATTGTCAAGATTTTACTGTTTTCATTTTAATTGTTTTAATTTTTATGTTAACTTTTTTATCTACATAACACATTTTTGTTGCTTTGTTAAAATATTTAAATTTCCAATCTCTAAAAGTCTATAACATGTAATATACATTATGTAATCATTGTAGTAAACTTGGGTATTTTATTTTAATTTTTTTTCCCTAAAAAAATAAATCTTAAAAGGGGCCTCTAATAATTGACCATTCGAGATCTAGCAGATCCCTTTAAAAAGTTATAATAGCTACAATTTCTTGTATGTAAATACTTGCTTACTTTGCAAAAATAATGTAAATAGTCAGTTGTCATTGTTCAATATTTTATAGTACCGTACATATTTTGTTTTGTTTTTCCTTAGTATACTCTTTATTAATTGATCTGCAGGAAATGCAAAGTTTCCATTTTGCAGAAATATGACTAAATATCTAGATTGCTGATTTGGCGCAGAGTTGTTCTATTTAATTATACATCCATATATTTTGTTTGCCCAATTTTAAAAATTTTAAACACATTTTAAAAGAAATAAATAATAAAATTGTGTAATCTGTCTTGTTGAAGAAATGTTACTGGTTATTAAATTTTTTTTCTGAGATTGTGAATAATCTTCAGTTTCTTTTTTTTATCTTTCTGTTAAGGGTGAATGCTCATATGAAGTCTTAGATGTTGAACATTGAAGATGATACATTTGAAATGAAGAAAGAACTAACAAGTATAAATGAAAATACTTGAAGTCTTGACAAGTCACAACAAATGTAAAGAGAATTTTAGCAATGTTCATCTCTGAAAAATGAATTTATAACAGAAAATGAATGAAGAAAGAATTATAGAAGCACAAATGGAAATGAGAAGAGGAATGAATATAAAGAAAAATTAGCATAGTTACTGGTATGTGATGAAGTGTTGGCTTTCTTCATCTGAAATGAGAAAAAGCTCAGGTTACAAAATATCAATTTTCCTAAAGAATAACCTGAAGTGGAAGTAGTGAAATATCAGTATTTGAGCTGAACATTTGGTGCAAAATAGTTCTTCAGCTGGTTTCTTCGCTAAATTTGAAAGCTCTAATTGCTCTTTGTAATGTTACATCTCAAATGTTCTTTTAAACCTCCAGAAGTTATTTAGGTGGATGGTACAATGGTATGCAAAAAAACGTTTCATTAGGTGAAGATAAGAAATCTACAAAGAAGAGGAAGTTGACAAACGTTTTGGAAATCTGTTAATTCACTAATTCAAGTGATGCAGTCCTTTATAATGAACTCAGGTAAGTATTTTTTAATGACAGTTAAACAGTTTTTTATAGCAGTCAGTGTTGTATGGGTTAAGATAAAAATTGGATAAAAAACCATTTGCATTGAATAAAATAACACAAAAATTACTTCAATAATTTTTTAAACTATCAAATAAAATTTAATATTTGATATACAGAAAATATAATTTTAATACCTCTCCAAAGACTCCTTTATGGGTCAATATCTTGCCACTTAACCCTTTACAGTCCTTTGTTCCTGGTAATTTTCTTTAATGCAATAAACTAAATATAGTACTTTCATTTCAGCATAGTAATGGAAGTCATTTTGGTAACAATATTTGGAAGATACTGGCAAAAGACAAGAACTGAGTTTTGTTCATGTCAATTTTTTTTCTCACTTGTGGTTAACTTTCTACATAGTATAGTATTTTGTTTGACATACTGCAGACAATGGATACAATAGAATGATAAACATATTTGAAAAATAAGTATTTCCAGTGATGTTTTATTTTTTTAAATGTTTTATTTTTTAAGCATTTTAAATATTTAAGTATAAAAAATTAGATGAGGGGTTAGTTTTTTTTAATAACTGGAGTGACCTTTTATCGTAAACCGCTTATATCTATTTAGGTTAAGCTATTTAGACTCAAGCATAAACTCTAATTCGATTTTCTTGTCTATTTTTTTTTCAATTTATTTTCTCAACTTTATATATATATATTTTTAGTATCTTTGAAAAACGCATGGGCTGTTGACTTGGCAGTATATGAAATATAAAAATGTTTTAATGACTGTAAAGGGTTAAATAAATAATTTTTTCATGATTATTGTCTATCTTTATGTATAGGACTTAACTAGCACTCAGATCTTTATTTTCCTGCATATTTTGTCACATGTTGTTGGTTAATATTAATAATTCAGATTAGACTATTTAAAATAAGACTTTAGAATTTTTTTTATTGGTAATTACATATTGTGCAGTAAAATAATTTCTCGTATTTATATTACTTAAATTATTTTTGAATTAGTAGGATTTTAAGGTTAATCTTCAGGTAGGTTTCAACACTTAAAAGCTTTTTCTGTGTATCGATGTCTCTATGGTTCAACCAGATTATAAAAACGTTTATATTTAACTTTGGTAACAGTAATTATATTATGTGTAAATGCAGTGTCAGTTTGGATTCACTTAAATAAATTTAAATTTCAATGATTTCGGGAGGGGGGGGGGGGGGGTTACCACCTTCAGATTTATTTGCACATGTACTGTTTCTATAGGGGGTGGTTGGTTTACTGGTCCATATGCATGTCCAAGTATTAAAAATACAAGAGTAACATGAAAATACATCCATAGAAACCATAAAATGGCAGTGCTCTTGTTTAAAAGACATGTCAAAAATAGATTGCTATATCTAATATTAGCTTTATAAATTTATTTCACATTTATGAACGTTGAATGCTTCAAAAAGGTAAAGCGTGATCACACAGTGTTAGTAAAAACAGATGTAAAAAACAGTAGCTGTTTCAAGATGCAACTGCTTGGCTAATGGTCTGTATTACAAGCATGAAACTGTTATTGTCAAACATAATTGAGCTGGGTAGATTTCTACTTAAGGTTTAGTGTGTTGTATATAATAACTATAAGTAGTCTATATATGCATTAATAATATATGGGTCAGTAAAAAAATAGTTTTCCAGGTATCAGGACAGACAAGCTGCAATCATTTCTTAAAATTTGAGTACACTACCAAAAGGTGAATTTCTGATTTTTGCAGCCAAATCACTTTCTGCAAACCATCAGGTGATATTGAGGCAGGTACTTTCAAAATACACAACACCCTGACCACCCATACAAAATTTGTTAAACTCACAATGCAATTTCAGTTGAATAGTAAGTTCATTCAATAGAAATAACAATATAGACATTACTATACTGGACAGTATAATTATAATATATACACTAACTTGAATATTTGAGTGTTTATAGGTTTAGCAAGTTCTTCATGAACCTATCTATCTACACTTGGTAAACCAGTGTTAATTATTGTATTTCACCATAGCGGAGCAAAACTTGGATACTGGTATCTTAGTCAGTTCAGGGTAATAAAAAAGTGCATACCCATCAATATCTATTTCGTTATCTTTTAAAATTATTTAAGCCAACCCTGGCCGTACATTGGAAATGTTACTTGCTATTGCAATTAAGGGTCAGTACGTGAAGTTTAATTATAAAAAGTTTGATTATTTTTGGAGTAATGGGAATTAACATCTTTCCCCCTCCCTCCCCTACGCTCGTGCCCAAAACCCATGGGACAGATGAGGTAGAGTTCATCACAGTTGTGTGAACTGACGTACTACGAGCTCAAGTCTGGGAGCCAAACTAAAGGCTTTCGGGTTGGCAGTCGTAAGCCCTAATAGTAAATATATATATACACATGTATATATATATACATTTAAAAGTACGTCTCCTGAATGCCATATTTTGTTATGCTTCATACTATTAACTTAACATTATCGATGTCCATTCAAATTCAATACACTTTTTTACGTTACAATTCACACAATTTTACTTTCAGAACGGAAGTTTCCTACTTATGTATTAAAAATAAATGAAAACTAAGTTGTATAGTAGGTGATATCTTTGTTCCACTTTAGGGGAAAAATTAGGAATTCTTACTATACATAGTGAATAAGACAAAAATTAAAAGCACGAAGTTACCAATAAGTATAAGGTCCAAATAGTATGAAAATTATAAACTGTTAGTTATGTGTAGCTCACAAGCTTGATGGATGCACAGATGGTCTGCGGGCTTAGTAATTAGTTGTAACCAATTGTAATGTTATCCACTTCAAATAGGCCTACTGTTAGATTAGTAGGCCTATATATAACTAAGAATATTATAACTTATAAACTATAATTATTTCCACACATTTCTGGCTGAAGTTAATATTTTTAATACAGAATATTAATTTTATTATGATACCTTAGCTACAAAACTACAGTACAATAGAACTGCGGGCCTGAAGTTGTTTCAACCCACTGTAAACCAGACAGGTTACCTTAAACTTCAAAATGTCACATGTGTGTATAAAATTAAAGAGCTACAGAGCTGAACTATTTAAGTATTTTCTGAAACCTGTGAGACCAAGTCTAATTACTAATTACTACTCAAAGACATGATTATCACAAGATAATTTAATATAATTTAATTTATTCTTTGGCAAGCATTAAAAATAAGTTTTGTGTTTACGTTGGCAAACGTATTTGTTAACAAGGTAGACTAATCTGGCGACATAGACCGTAGCCTATAACCATAATAAGTATAACAATATTAACAAGATACGAGTATCTTCTGCTGAGTTCCAGGCATCTCTTCAGATACCCCCTCCGGGAGCACTTCCACTGCTGCCCCCCCCCCCCCCCCACCCCCTCCATCTAAAGCAAAAAAGATGTATTTTAACCAATCAAATTAAAATTCACCCATGCCATAATAAAATAATTTTCATAATTAGCCTACTGGTGTAGATTCTTTTAAGTAAGTACTTTCACTAACATAAGATAAATATTAGAATGATACTGGAATACGTTTTAAGTTCTGAATCAGAGGTCGGAAGATACTTAAAAAATAAAGCAATTTAAGCACTGCTGCCTTTTGTAATCTAAGTAAATAAGAGTAACTAAAAATCGAACACACAAAAAAAAATAAGTAATTTAAATTAAAACGAGAATACCCGCGACGTAGTAGATCTATACGCCGCCATCTAGTTTTATTTTCTGCCTGTCAGCAATTCATAATTTGTGATTTCAACTCTACCCCCACCCCACCCCCCCCCCCCCCCGGCCAGTGAAAGCAGCCGTTTACAGACAAAGAAAAGATCAATCAGCAATTGTTACCTCCCCTTCGTTTCAAATCGTTTAATACTAAATTATCTGCCCCTAATAGTAATAGCCGTCACCAGAGTTTCTTCCAGGCATCTCTTCGGGGGGGGGGGGGACGAAGCCCCCCCGAAAAATTTTTTACCGCCCCCCCCCCCCCCCGAACGAAATGAAATTTGTATAATTTATACAGAAAATATATACTTATAACAGTGTCCGCTCCCCCGAAGAAAGTCTAGCGCCCCCCCCCCCCCCCCGAAAATTTCAAGTGCCCCCCCCCCCCCCCCCCCCCCCGGAGAAAAAAGTCTGGAAGAAACACTGGCCGTCACTAACCCGGCTCTACGATTGTAATTTACAATGTAAACATTCGGTGTGAAACACAGCTCACCTGACAGGTGGGGGATGAGGGTGGTGGCTTAGCTGCGTGGTGTTTTCTATAGTCTCCATGAAGAGAATTATATATATAGAATAGATTTTTAAAAATTCAGATTTCCTAGAGGTAATAAATTAATATAAAGGATTGCCATAATCAAATTAGATACTGAAGTCCTTACATTTTTAAAATCAAGTTTCTTTTCTTTTCTTACGATAAGCTTTTATTTATAAAGTTGGATTAAATTAATATAGTACAACGTTTGTTTTTAGACATTAACACAAACAAAACAAGCAAAAGAACTGAGTATCGAGTTAGTGGTGTGGTTGTACCCCAGCCCGAGAACTGGAGCACAAATCATCAGCTTTAGGCTCTGTTGATAAAGTCATGGTTTTACCCACACCACCACGGCTCAGTCCGATAGCTGGCTTGTATTTGATCGTTTTATACCTACGACACGAGTGTGGTGCAATACTTGCAGTCACACAAATAGAACGTTACTAATTTTCTAAATATATTTTGTAAGGGAGGTAGCTGAACATTTATAAGGAAAAAGATTAGCCTCCCTTTGTAAATCTGGCAAACAGCCCCCCCCCCCCCCGAAACCCCCAAGTGCATTCCGGGTAGAGTTTTTGGCAATTATTTGATAATTATATAATGATATAATTTGATATTCTGTTTTATTATACAATATATAGTCTCGTATGAAAAGGCAATGACTAAAGTTTTTTGAAAAATTTATGTTGAGAGCATTTTGCTCTTTAGAATTTTGCAATAGACAATCGGAGTAAGATAGAGAGGTCGCATTTGGGCTGGAATTTCAGTCAACAAAGAACGCAATATTCCATTGAAAAAAAGATAATACAATGAGAGAACTGGGATATATCAATTGTGCTACCCTAAAGTTAAGACATTTTGCTCCGTGGGGGGGGGGGGCGTTTAAAACTTTCGATAGTAGGAGTGGGGCGGACAGAAATAAAGAAAGGTTAACTACAGCAGGCTTACTTTAATATTTTATTTGGGTGGGCAAAAGGGGGTGGTGGAGAGCTATTCAAGAAGATTTGCATAAAAAATACATTGCACTGTCCTGTGTGTGGGTTTTTTTGTTATCTTTTTCAAAATCATAAATGGAGGATTTAAATATAATTTTAACAAGTCTCATCTACAATTCAGCGGCAGTGAGTTCTCCTTAATTCTCAGGAATATCCTCATATACGTGTGTGGATGGCTCCTCCAGTAGAACAGCCTATAGAAGTGGTACATGTGCGAATAAACCTGGAGGTTGTAAAAAAAAATTGGAACTATAGTTTATAGACAGATTTATCTGACATTGCTGAATACCGCAAGCCAACTCTTGATCCATTTAACAGAATAGACCTGTAACTGAACAATAATCCATTTCTCCTACGTAAGATTATTTTATAACCTGTGCACGAATCCAACGACATTTTTTTTCTTTAAAATACCAGGAAATCGTCTCTGATTTTTATTATTTTAATCAAATTATAAGCCTATGAAATGATGGTGGAATTAGGCTGGAATAAAGGTTGTGTTTAATGCATAGTGTATAGGAAATACTTTATTTAAACTGTTATTAGATCTATATTTTTTTTTAAATTTAAAGATAAATAGGCCTACTTGATAATGTTAAATATACAATAAAAACTTTAGATACAAACAATGCTTTAAAAAAAATAAACAAAAACAAAACCAGCAAAAGAACTGAGTATCGAGTTAGTAGTGTGGTTGTACCCCAGCCCGAGAACTGGAGCACAAATCATCAGCTTTAGGCTCTGTTGATAAAGTCATGGTTTTACCCACACCACCACGGCTCAGTCCGATAGCTGGCTTGTATTTGATCGTTTTATGTCTACGACACGAGTGTGGTGCAATATTTGCAGTCACACAAATAGAACGTTACTAATTTTCTAAATATATTTTGTAAGGGAGGTAGCTGAACATTTA